AGCCCAGCGATGGTATACGATTTCATGAAAAGTTTTTAAAAACTTGGTGCAGTTATAATAATGAAAGTCTACAGATTCCAAATCATCATAAGGTAAGGTACACATACAGACACCATTTATGCAGTTTTGTGCTCATGGAATGGTTGATTTGTGGCAGAAAAACGGCCCAGATGCAACAAGACGATAAGGGGATTGTGATATTGATCTTATAAAAGTGGTTCCTACAAATTGTACTCGTCGGGGGTAAGACACTCCAAGCAGCACAGACATGCCAATAAATATAAGAAGGTCCTTCTCATCCTTAATAAGAAGTACATTCATTTTTTCCTTTGTAAGTGTATGAATACGAGCCTGGAAGTGAATTCTTCCCAGTTACACATGTATCGCATCATGGGAGAAATTTACAAGTTGTAAATTACATCCAACTCCAGGATAGGATCAACTCTGGAGTGGCATGTAATAATTCTCGTTAATAACAATGAAGATGAAAGTGGGATGTTGTGGGAAATCGAGAGTGTTGAATTGTACTCTAGTGATTGTCAGGTCCAATTCAACTCTTGATTACTTATTAATATAAATCAAGTATGAAATCACAAAATCAAGGTCATGATTAGGATCAAGTTGAATAAGAAAGCTGCTGACCCTTCTTCTTCATAGGAAGGAAGATGGGTGCATGCAAGGTTGGTCATAACGAGGAAAGCATCTTCTTCTCCGTGTGTAGTTCAATTCAAAGTTTAAACAATTTCAAGACAGATAAACAAAAAAGGTGGCTATTGCTACTGAACAGAAGGAACATCTTTTCTGGAAAGTTTAGACAACTATATACACGTGATGCGATACGCATGCATTAACCACAAAAATTGCTCGTATTATTTCCCTTTCGAAATACAATCAGTTTGAAAAAGTGAGAAAACGAGAGCAAGTCTCGCCTACATAAACCCGACTGTTACTTACATACGTAGATTTGTTTGTGGATTAGTCAAAATCACCACAGACAATTTCCCATCTTTTTCTATTTATAACAAAATCCGAATCTAAACCGTCCCTTACGCACGAATGTGTCTTCACCAACCAACGCCAACAACCATTCACAAGTGGATCCGTGTGGTTGCGTGTGTGTATGCGTGCGTGTTGTGGGTTTCTAACTTTCGGTCTACCAAAAAGTAACTCTAATGTAGCGCATGTAGCTGTAAACAGTAAATTATCTAAACAACATGCAGTCAGACAAAGTATTGGATGTCCAACCAGCGAAATTCGGACAGAAAAAGAAAACGAGTGAGTGGCAGAAATCTCTGTATTTATGTGCCAGCAACTGAATTTGTATCTTTTTTAACGAATTTTTGCTTTCCTTTTCATCATCTAAATAGTTTTGACTACACAAATGCGTAATAGTCTTCGTTCTCATCAGAATCAGCAAATTTACGATTAGTGAAACAAGAGAAGGTTGTTGTTGTCATGTTCCCATCAAGAAGTTATGAATTGTGTGACGTACATATTAGCCACAACTGTCGATGTCATGATTAATGTACTGGACACATGTTAATAATAAACAAGTTCATCGGCTGAATAAGTAATATGCATATTAAAATTAGACGCCTCGTCGTCACCTTTAGTCGGATCTCAGCAAGTGTGCTTATGCAATGTATTATTTTGTCTTTTGTGTTATAGTACAAGAACAGAAAATGATGCCGATGCGTGTATGTATTGATCTCTCTCTTGACTATAGGAGAACGTCACAAAGTGTACACTACCAGATTTTTTGGCAAATGAAGATGTTCCTCTCTGCACACACACACACATTCCAGATCAAAAGTAGTCAAAGCTAATCCATCCGTGGAGACACGAGACAAGACAAACATTGTTTGTTTGCACCCATCCATCCTTCTCAAAAAAGATGAACCGACTCCTCTTTTCCAACCTAACTACCAAAACGATGTGATTGTAAACTAATTGCATGTAACCCGAATGATGACTCCTCCTTTACAAACAAGACGAAAGGGGAAAACAATGCGCGAACTTTGGTAAAAAAAATGGGCTGCATTGCTTTACGTTAAAATGCTTGCACAAACATTTGCATGAACTTTTCTGGGATCATGATGATGACGAAGAATACGTACGAAAAAGTGGAGAGATAAAAAAGAAGGATGAGGTGCAAGGGCAAAAACTACGCTATTGTTAAGTCTCGACTTGACTACTGGGTTGAGTTGTAGATCGGATCAACACGCAGGAGAAACGGAATCATAACATGGACAACCGGAACACAACCTTTTTGCAGGGTTGAGAGATCAAGACTTTTTTAAGACTTCTTCTTCACATAATCTTTATTTGAAAAGTAGTGCCGCAAAGGGAGCAGATAAGTATAATACGAGAAGATAAAGGTGGCTGGATTTATGGATTAATCCAGCCAGCTACTTCCGGCTTTTAGAAACGCTACCTCCCCCCATCGTCATTCATGATACGTATCGAGTACAACTTGATAAGCATGATATGTAAATAAACTCAGTTAAATTCTCCTCCCTCCCCCCACCCACAAATTTCTGGTGCATATCGAGTAAAAAAAATATTCAGTGGGTAGGAAAAAAATACTTTGGCAAAGATTTACACAAAATACGCATTGTTACGAACCTTTAGAAAACCAGGTCTTTTCATGCATACATATTTATTGTCTTTGCAATTATTTGTGACACGCTGTCAAAACAGTGCATAAGAGGGCAAACTTCTTCTGCTGCATTGCATCCTAACGGCTCAATTGAAATGCTTGTAGTAAAAAAAACTAGAGTTCCAGAAGAAGAAGACGAAGATACTGGAAGAAAAACGGGACTCATTTTTTTCCGTCGTCTGACAAGCTGATGGATCGTCTTGGTTCTTCGCAATGTGAAGAATTCATCCATAATATTCTCTTCTAGCCCATCATTTCCGAATCATGGATTATCATACGATTACGACGTACGAACCAGAATTGATATTGTCTTTTTTGGTTGAGGATCAATGCTCCTTCTTTTAAACTCCAGGCTACATGCATCGTTTGTTGACAACTTTCTTGCCAAGTATACGACGACGACTGAAATAGTAAGTACACAAGTTGATGATGGGATGACCTTTTTCATTTTAAGTGGTCAGCTATTACCGCTGAGGCCAAAACTCGTAAAATTTTGTATTCATTCCAAGCATAAACCTTTCACCGCGTTTTCCAAGTCCTTCAGAATTATTGCCATTATTCTGGAATTGTTGGGATGCGATCATGAAGAACATTACGTAACGTTGAACTGGCAAAAAACCACGGATCCCAGATCATCGCCAAAGACTTGAGTAAACACGCAAGTAAGTTCTTACAGATTTGAAAAGTACAATAATAATAGAGAGCAAGCAGTCGTTATGTAACTTTACGTAAGAAGAAAATGCGAATGGTATGGGTTAGTTTGAGTTGCAAAAAAAAATCCGAAATAAAATGCAAGTGCTCTCTCCTGTAACATATCAACTTTGTGATGCAAAGATGACGATGTAAGATGAAACGGAAATCTCCAGATTTCCAGTCCAAAATGTTTCTCAGTAGTCGTGGAGTACATATGAGATGATGGGATGGAAATACAAATAAAATGAGTACACAGAGAGCTAGCTGCAAGATATCGAGGAACTTTTATGTGAGTGCTGAACGTATAAAATAATAAACGAACAAGGACAACTTTTAGTTCTCTTATGTCTCACTTAAATTTGAGATTTTTTTAGACCTATTTTTAATTTGAAATTGTTGTCTCCAATTTTACACTATTTTTTTATTCCAGCAAAACAAAATATCCAAACAGAAACAATGTAAAACTTGACTTACTCAAATTATTCAGATCCAATATAAGGTTTTCCTCATTAGAAAAGTCAGGCAAAATAATTTCAGCGAAATGTCAACATTTTAAAAAGGGTTAAATTTAAAGGCTTTTTGTTTATTGACACAAAGTAATGTTTATCACGGTACATTCGAAAACACAGGCACGTTATTATTTATTATTGCATAACTGCAGAAATGGTTACATTCAACTCAACTTGCACCACTTTCGTTTTTATGAGAAATATGTACAAAAACCAAATTATGGAAATTCAGTAAAATTGGTTAAAGAGAAGTAATTTAGAGGAGGACGCTTATGAATTTGGAAACTTTGTTCACCTCGCGACTCGCAAGTCTTCACTCTGCACTGGTCACTGACAGAATGAATCAACGAGAACAACTCTGGTGAGCTTTAGTGAGTGTGTTAGGCAGAGAGTGAGATGGGTTGTTGGAGGCAGGATGAGATTTTGTCGTGGTTTCGAGTTGAGACAGCAAGTTTGCGATGTATGTGTGTATGCAAATACACGTAAAATCTTGTCGCAAGTAGTCCACGCACATCTTAATCTTTTTATAGCTGGAAGATCGCACATTTTCTCTAAATGTTCCAAATACTCTCCGTACAGATTTGAACACATGGCAGATGCGTGAGTGAGTGAATGAATAGGTAGCAGTTATCAAATTATAGCTCCGTGCTTACGGCGAAACCATGACACGACAAGACAACACAGTTTTCTGCAAAAGTTAGTTAATGTGTTTGAACTAGTATAGGGCTAGAGTCAAATGCGTAATTTGACTGATTTTGGGCTTCTGGTGATCCCATTTTTTAGGAAAATTAAATATTCCGTCCGGAGTTTTGACGACTTTATCGATAATAATGTTCACCCGAAGCAGACCACGGGCCGGGTGGGGAAAGGGTAAAGACCTTGTGACCCTGTAACCCAAAAGGAAATGACCATGCCGCATTTTAAAGACGAGGCGTCATCTTATTTTTGGATGGAATTAAGCAGATGACATGTCAAAAGGACGGCGAGAAGTACAATGACGATGTTTCTGAGGAATCCTATGAGATCATGGAGTGATGAAATGCTGAATGAGTTATTAGTTACAATTAGAAAAAAACAAGTTGGAAATAGGCGATACATGACGTTAAGAAGATTGATATAAAGTCGCATAAAAGGGCAAATTCTGGGTTTGTAATATACGAATTTTTAATTTGAGTAAATAATAGTTTGATATCACATTTTTAGTTTTTCAATAAATAATAGACTTTGGATAACATTTACGATGCATTAATTTAGAGTGTAACAAAGCCACAACTAGATAGTATAACTAGAAATTGATAACAATAATAATCAAATAAGGCTTCTACAATTTGAGTAGAACTCTTTGGCATGAAACGTAGACGTTCAGTCTAATTGACATCGTATTCTTTTAAACCATGCAGGCATGAGTTAATACGTGCAGAATATGAACAGCAATGAGGTCACAACCACGACCCATAATGATGCAGTCGCTTCACCAGAATTAACGTGAACAGTCGAGTTAGGGTCCAGCTTATCTTCAACAATGACTAAATGATCTTTAATATTTTTATCGTCTTTGATCTTTCTCGAGTCTGTTGATTTCGTAGTAGTAGCAGTCGTTATTGATGTTGTTGGTCTTTTTGTTGTAGCAATAGTGACATCCTTCTTATCCTTGCCCTTGTGGGTTGAAATTGCAGATGCATCTGATCCAGGTAATGAGAAAGGAAGGTCAGCGTATATTCTCTCTCGTCCAATCAGGGTGACCATGTGTTCCAACTGATCCATGTCGACGGGGTCATCTTCCTTTGACCACAGCGTCAAAGTTGCCTTATTTCCGGCACGATTCACAAGATCCAGCAATACATCAGCCGATTGGGCAGCAATTCCAGCTCGAACAGGGAAAGTAACTTCACGGATGTTTCCGTCGATACCTGCAGTGTCCAAAAACCTTAGGGCTTCTATTCGGTTGGCGTTGGTGTATTGTCCTTTTGAGATTGTTTGATCTGAAACGAATCAGAAACAAAAATATTGACTATCAACTGCACCGGTCTTCTAGCCTTTTTCATATTGGTATTCGTATGCAAATGGAAATCTTAACTACTACTATCCTTATTATTAACAATTAAAAAGTTTGAAACACACGAGGGAGAGTAAGTATCGAGTAATTTTACTACTTACCCTTTTCCGTCCCGAAACGTGTAGTCCAACCAATGGACAGGGTAGGTTGGATACGAACATCTTTGCTAGTCAGTGCAAGGAAGGCCTCAGGATCAAGGGGTTGTGTTGTGGCGTTGACCGGACCCACCCAAATGTCTGCATTCACCCAGATCGGAAAACTCAAAGCTTTTCGTCGTCTATTCTTCTCAATCAGTTTCATAACTGGGGTCACGGCTCCAATGTCCTTGAAGTCAAGCTTGATTCCCTTCTTACTGTTTTCATTTGCCTTTATCACCTTTTTAAGAAAGTCTTCAAAGAGCAGGTCCGATATGTTGTTGGGAGGATGGGCCATAATCGGGACCTTCTTATCTGAACCTTCTTTAGTCCCCATGAGAATATCGGCCTCCAACATCATGACATCGCCTGAAAAAACAATCATTCATTGTACAAACGGTTTCATTTTTTATGAACAACACATTTTTACTAATTTGACTTACTATTTAAAGCCTCATTCAACTTGTCTTGACTGTTCACGGCGTGGGCCCATGTCACTTTGGTCAAATCCTGGTGCAACTGGTCCTCAAAGAAATCAGTGACCCGAATATTTGCCATTGCGAAGTTGGGAGATGTCCAAATCAAGATTGCAGAGAACACTAAAAACCAGAATAAACCAACAAACGATATAAACTCTTGTAACTAACTAAAGTTTTGCATTTATAAATTCATATATCTCATTCCCATTTCAAAATCAATCTTACAAATAATAATCGCTTACACAAGAAAACTCCTCCAACGGATCCCATTTTAATTTAGTGTTAAAAAATGTCTTACAGTAACAAACTAAACTTCAAATATAAATGGGACGATGAATGAATGTTTTCCTACTCGGGAGCGAAGCGGAGCCTAGAAAAATCGGTGCATCGAATAATCTCCTGCTCGAAAAAAAGAACAACTTACAAGGATCACGGTCTGAAGGCAAATGAAAAACTGGAGCACCATAAGAGACTACATTTCCAACTACGCATTATAATTTGTATAATTAATAACAAACGCCCCCAAGATTAGTTCAACGAACAAGGACAATGGACACCAAGAAAAGAAGACAACTCCTCATCACAAATTGATTGAATTAGCCATTAATTATACAAGAATCATAGACTGTTCGGCTACTATTTAAGGCGTTTTTACATTATGCATACTTTGCACAATACCAAATAAGAAAAGACCGACTAAACTCTCTACACTACAGACCACTTATCGAACCTCTTCCCAATAAATTGGTATCATGCATGCATTTTTCACAATTTGTACGCTCTATCATTTTGCACTTCCTGAGCCGAACAAAGTTAACCAGGCAATCTGTCAGTTTTTTTATGCATGCGACTTTATTCTACACAACTCCCATATTACTATTACTTCTCATCGTTATTCTACCGTTTTACTAATATGCAATGCAATGATGTAATTGACAATAAAAATGAAAATATTTACCCACCACGAGCGATATCAGGACTATTACCAGCAGCAAAATTGGACTTCTTCCACACCTACCGACCTTTCTTCTGCGTCTTATCAACCTGCACCCACTTCGGAGCCAGTGTGGTGGGGGAATCATCTAGGAAACTTGTATAACTAACTTTGATCAGCATTTGGAAATATTATCTGAAATTTATTATTATTTGAGAGGCTGACGGATTTGCAAGTGGAATGGGTTTTCTCTGTCGGGCTGCCCCTGTGTGAAAGCGCAATGTTTGACAAGCTTTCAAATCCATGGACAAATTGTTGACAACAATCCACCCACATCACCTAATCGATTCCTAACATGATCAGAAACTAATGAGAGTGGTGGTGGTGTGGCGACGATCCGTGGACGAGGTTATCGATCGATAAGGTAAAGACGACAAAGAGCTGGATGGGATTCGTTTAACAAGGGTGGACTAGCAGTTAATATTAGTGGTGAATTAGTATTAACGCATCATTCGTGAACATTTTCGATAACCAGACACAAATTGTTATTTTGTATTATAAAGTGCTTGACAACTTACATCGGATAAACTTTAAGTCTCGAACATAGCTTATCTTGGACTTGTCGTAAAGTTGTGGAAAATCAAGACAAGTTTCAAGACGTGTGTTAAAACAGTTTGCATTACATAGGACAAGAGTGCAATTTAGTTGGAAATTTTAATATTTGTGATTAAAAGACTATTTACAATTCAGTGTGGTCTGACTGGAGAGAAAATTTATGCAAAAATTGCAGTTATTTAACTTGAACTGTGCCGGAGATAACGTCAACAAAGTGGATGCACGAACCTATTAATTTAATGTGGTTTATTAAACACAATTGAGTTTAATTGATAGTCTGGACATGTCAGTTATTTAGTTCTTTGCTCGTTTGGTTAATTAAATCTTAAATGAATGGACTCATTCGAGCTGAGGAGTTGTTCGTTGAGGAGGACGAATACTAAGAAATATGGTAACGGGTGCTTATCATGTGTCTCAAAAGGTGGACACGCCACCATTTTTCTGCTCTCAAGGTCTGGAGGGATTTGACTCCTTTACCTCCAAGGTCGACGACGCCGGGTAACGAATATAACGCCAGGTGAAATAAGATAGGTGAGCACACAATATGAATAAGAATAAGCGATTAAAAAATGCATGACATTAAATGTGCAATAAAATTAATGAGTAATTAAAAAAAGATGACGATACTTTGTAACTTGTTATCACACTATTATGTCATGTTTGCAATGCTTTGCTGTTCCTCCCGGTATTCCTGACAGACAACAAGGATCTGATATCAATATTATTATGTAGTTTTTTTTTATCTATACCGGCTGTGTTGCTACTGCTTATCTTTTTGTCGTTATCAGAGCGGTGTGTAAATATTTGTGGTGCATTGGTGACTTGTTCATTCAGAAATGGCTCATGTAAGGATTGACTAATGTTTCACGTCGTGTCCTGGAATTTTATAGAGCTTGCTCCACTTTTAATACAAATGTGCATTACAATATTTTACAGTATATTTTTTTGGTTGGTTATCTAAAGAAAGAAGATTGTCGCCACCATGCTTCTTATGATGTCTCTTCTGGGTTCTTCGGACTCGTCTTCCTCGCCCAGTGAAGACTTGCTGTCATCCTACGCTGGGGACATGTACAATCCAGAGTCGCTCACCCAAGTCCAGAACACCGGGCCAGAGTTGGATTCTTTGAACTTTGACAATATGACGTCGATCGATGATGTCGTGGAGAAGTTAATGGACAGCGATCTTCTCACCTTTTTCTTCTCGTTGTTTTGCTCCATCGTGTGGGTGGTTTACATCACATTTTACAGTTCCAGAATCACAGGACTTTTAGTGACGAAGGTGGTAAATCGTGTCTTTAAGGATGGCTACATCAAGATTGGTGAGATAACATTTGAATTTGAGTTGTTGAGGTAGTTTTAATTATGTTAGCAGAAGTAATATGCATACATAAATTACAGGATCGCTCTCATTCTCTGTCCTCTCGGGAAAAATCATGTTTCGTGACGTGTGCTACATCACAGAAGACTGCAGTTATAGAGTTCAAGATGGATGGGTTATTTTTCGGTGGTGGAGGACATATGTCCCAAAAGACATATCTGAAGGTAAATCGGTGATCGTCATTTAAATTTGCTACATGTTACATACAGTAATTTTCAATGTACGAATTCAAAACGATTCTATTTTTGTATAGACATGTCACATTCTGATACACGACTCTCCATCCTGCTCAACGGGTTTGAATATCATCTTTACAACCGATCCGAGCTATATTCCAGATTAGAAAAACTCTTTGGATTGGATGCACTAATAATTTCTGGAGGGGGGAAAGATCCCGATAAAGAAAAGGATAGTGATAACAGTGGGAAATCTCCTCCTAAGCCACCTTCCGCTGTTGGATACTCTTGGAGAGATTTAATTCCTGTGATTAAATTAGAATTAAGTTGTGTAAGTATAAAATTGAGACGTAAATATGACATACAAATACAGCATACGATGACAAAAAGAAATATTCACGATTTATATTTTATGCATGCAGGGCCGGGTTGTTTTTGGCAATATGCTAGTTCCATATACGTTGGCTCTTGTCGTAGAAGAAGCTCATTTAATCTATACTACAAAACCAGCAGCGTCAAAGCTGGACCATTTTATGCATATAGTCAAGTGCAAGTCTGAGAATTTTAAAGTGAGCACAAATTTTATGTTTTGTACATATTTCGTAAATATGTATTTTTTGTACTAAATGTTATTCGATCATTTTCAGGTTTTACTAAGTCAAAGTCCGAAATATACGGGCTTGAAGGATGATCCTCCTCGCTTGATGGGAGAAGGATTTGGAATTGTTACTGCGAACAAAGTTGAATTTTATTATTATATGGACGAACCTGGTACGTATATAGTATTGCGTTATTAAGTGTGGTATGAAACTAATTGAAATGAAACAAAATAATACGTTCTGACCTGTTTTCTTTCGTCTAAAGGTGTAGTTCCAAATGAACCAGAAATGCTTCAGTTAGCTAATGGCGACCTTGTAGAAGCTAATCCACCAATTTGGGGCATTGATATTAAGGTACAGTTTGATTAATTAAATTAATAAGACATAAAGTAATTTAATGTCATTAATCATATTTTGATATATTTTGTTAAGTGTGGAAAAGGAACCGATTTTAGTTACGGACCTTGGGCGGACAGACAACGTGATCAACTCTACAAACTATTTTACCCTCAATCCTATGAGCCTTTGCAACGAACTAGTCCCCCATGTGCGGGAGAGCTTCGTCAGATTCAGTCCTTCGATATAAGACTTTCAACGCTTAACGATGCCACTATTGATATTCTATTTTCAAGAGATCAGGTAATATTTGTAGTGAAAGTGTCAAGAGGAAATTATAAATAATACTACGTATTGAATGTACAATGAAACTTTCTTGAAAAAATTGGCAGGAAACAAATGCAATACATATGAATGTTGCGCCAGGGTCATACCTAGAAATTACTATTCCTTATATTGTTCATTCTAATGGATACTCTACTAAAATCATGGGACAACTTCTACACGTGGAAGCATCCACTAGTCTACAAGTATAATTTGCCTTATTATAATTCGCCTTTTTACATAAGGAAGTGGCTTATGATTCTTATTATATTTCAGTTCCGGAATCTTATTGAAAGTGAAACATTCCAATTCAATATTGAGTGCAATTATCCTTTGCATTGGAACGACCATCAAGATTGGATAATGAATTTAACTGGGTGCAAAGCTTCTGCATATCTCATTTTTGCTCACAAGTGGTTTTTCCAAGGTTCCCAATTTTACCCAATGCAACAACTTTATTTGATACTTTGATTCAATTAAAGTAATTGATAAACGTTTTCTTCAGCTATGGTCAATGATTGGTCTAGTCGGACACCTCCAGATCTCCTTGGCTTCGTTCCGTACACGTGGAAGATCAACTTTATCCTGAAAGAGTTTGAGATTATCACAGTCACCAATGAATACAATTGGGTTGACTGTTCTTCTCAGCATCATGAAAACAGTAAGATTTGAATATTCAAATATTTATACGTATCTATTCTGAAAAAATACAAACTTGGTTTAAATATATTCAAACTTATCTTCTACCAGGTCTGCTAGCAGCATGTGGAGAACTCTTCGAACTCTCTTTTGATCTCCCGTTCTTTGAGTTTTTACCAGAAACAGTTTTATTCAAGTTTTGGATTCAGATTGAAGGAGGTGATCTCAACTTTTTTATACCCGAAGTATCCAGCTCGTTCATTGCAGTGCATTCTTTATACAAGAATGGAAAAGTGAGAAATAGGGATGGAAGCATTACGTGGGATTTATCCTCATTGAGTAAGGATGAATCCAAAAATGAAAACAAAGGCCGTAGCAAAGTTAAGAAATGGAGAAATATTTGTAAACCAAGGTAATGAATCATTGAAAAGTCATTGTAAAAAAATTACTCTCTGACCACAACGTCTGACAATTAAGTGATCAATTTTTGTATTCATTTTAATTTCAGTGAATCATGGATTGAGTGCTGGTCAGTTCCTATCTGTGCAGTAAGTATTGCGTTCACATACCACCCAATGCCACCATTAGGCCCTTCACCACAGGCTGATGTTACCACGCCGGAAAAGGAAGAAAGTTTGTTATCCCCGATGAGAATTCCAGGAGATAAGGAAACTCCAAAAAAATCATCACCGGCAAACTTAATGGGTGCAGATTTTGATCCATTGTCCCTTTCTCCAGATCATGTACATGTAGAATGTGAAGTTGGGCCTTCTGTCCTCATCTTGTACGGATCTCTATTAAAAATTATAATAAATCTTAAGGTACTTAAAAATACTAGTTTTGCAAAGTTGAAACTTGACTTAACCATAACTGTTTGTGTAAATAGGAAAATATATTTGGAGATTATCAAGACTTTATAGATATGGAAAAGTTGAAATGTGGAACTGGTCTATTTGGATTCAAAATACCTGCGAATGCTGCTGGCGGAGACAAAATTGGATCCATGGATAAAACTGATCCAAGAGAATATCGACCCCTTGATGTATCTGTATCTGCAACGTTACATGACATCCGAGGGCATTTATTGAAAAATTGCAATGAAGCAGATCCACCTTGTCCAACCATTTGCGTTGAACGCTTTGGGTTTGAAATGGATAAGAAATATCGAGGGACAATTCTGCAAGTCTTGCTGTCGCCAATAATGCTCTTAGTTAGTGACACTGTGGATCGTTACGATACTTCAGATCAGCACTTGAAAGAGGGATATTTGATGCTCTCGGGGTTACAGGTACATATTTTAATTTTACTACTATTTGTTTGGAATTCATATTCATTCACTTAATGAAACTTCGTACTCGTATCTATTCCTAGGTTCGCGGACATGCCATGTTTAGTAATGAAGGTCGTAGTTTAGACCAGGAGACGCTAGTAAGTGCACTTTTACCTGCTAATAAAACTTACTTTTTGTTTGCAGCTGGACATTTTTGAATATGTTATTTATTATATACTTTATTAATTGCAGGAATATGCTTGGTTAATCGAAGTTCAACTTGGGAAGCTTAGTGGCCGCCTTACCACTCCACATGTGGAGAATATCATTAGCAGTTGTGAAGCTTTTTTATTGACCGTTTTGGATGAGGAAAACTCGTTACGTTCCCCGCACTCGTTTCTAATTTGTCATCACGGAAATAATCAATTTGAGTGTCCTTCTCTCCTAATGGAAGAAAGCCATACTTTTGGAACTGCGGAGGATCTGAAAAGCGAAACATTCACCCCTTCTGTCAAAAGCCCAAGCCAGTACGAGCTTGAATTTGAATCTCCAAAACCTTCAGTCATCAACGTGTGTCCAACTTCTGAGGACATCAAGTACAAATTGGTTCGTCTTAGTTTTGATGCAATTGATGTCTATCTTGTCGAAAATGGGACAGCTTTGAGTTTATGGGTAAACAATTCATTTATATCTAATTCTAAATAAACACAACCAAATTAAGTAACATGTTTATTTATATCACAGGTGTCACCTATTCGGTTCGCATTATGTAACTTGCACGGATCATTTATGAAGGAAGGGTTCTCACTTCTCATTCCCACTATTCAGCTGCGGCATTTTGTTATGGTTAATCCGTCATTCACCAAACGTTTTCAATTTTCGGATCTCAACATTTTGCAGTCTTCTACCGAGACAATGACAGCAAGGTACATACTCACATCAATAAACTCACATAAATCATATTTTGTTCAGCTTAAAATTTTTAATTAACTTTAGTGAACCTAATAAATACATATAATAAATATGTTTCCTCTAGTTGGACGTCAAAAATGGAACTCAACACATCAGCTCCTCAAAGTCCAACATCTACCAGCGCTAGCTCTTGGTCTTACTTGTGGTTGGAAGCTGGTGCAATTGCGTTGGGTCCTTTGACAATAGAAATGGCAATGAAAGGAAATTCTAGATCATTGTCCACACAAAATATGTTAGTACATAATAGTTACTACAAATACGCTTTTCATTACATTGGGAAATTCTAATGTTTTTTGCTCAAATCATGTTTCAGATTTTTAGTAAGGCATGACAAAAAGACTAAACGATTATGGTTCTTGTGGAGGCCGGAACCAAGTTCTGAACCAAAGCCTTCATCCGACAAGGATTATATGGATAAAGGTGTTAAGAAATGTGGTTGTGTGGGTGGTTGTGCCTTCTTCGGGAGCAACGTTGGAGGATCCAGATTCTTCTGGCCTAGCAAGAAGGATTGGATTGATGGCGTGAACGTTGCCTGTTTTAGGTATCAACTAAATTTTTACTCTATACAAATAAATAGTTAGATTAAACAAAGATTTTATAAATTTTTAATTTTCAGAGTTAATAAACCTGGCGAAGATTTCGGCTTTGGTCAAAGTATTCTAAAAGCATCCGTTCTCATGTTTGACACTCCCCCCTACACAACTCAACAGGGGGTCACAATTCTTGAATTGCCGACAGAATGGTCAAGAGATGCACCTCCAAAAACGGGGAAAGCTGCTTCTCATTACGTCTTTAAACCATCTCTCCTCGCTGATCTGAGCCACAATTCATCCTCCGTCCCTTCAAATCGGTCTGAAAAAATGAACACTTTGGGCTCTACCTTTCAATCTGGCAAAGTAAGTTAAACTTGAATTTTAAGTTAAATTTTTGTTATTTCCGTTGAAATTATTATATTTCAATGTACATAAACTGATACAGGGACGAAGATCATCTGCAACAAACCAGATGTTAAAACGACAACGGAGAATAAGCGATGATCCTCAAGGAAGTAACACTAAACTTGAGGAAAACGAGTTAAGAGTTACTTCTTTGCTGGAAGATGAAACGGTAGTGGGAAGAACTTCCTCATCTTGTTCAGACACACGACCTGGTGTCGATTATTTCCAATCCTTCGAAGAAGATGAACCTACCGAAGTTCGTGTCAATATTGAAGGAAGCTCAACGCACAAATCTCAAGCTTCTTCCAAAAAAATTAACATGGACCATGGTGACGATACATTGAAAAAGGTGATCTTAAATATGATATTCATATAAATAATCATAAATTATTAGATTTATATTTAATGTGAATTTCCTAACGAATTATTTTATCTATCTAGCCTTGGCATCATGGAAGTATTTCATCTCTGGACTCTTTGTCAGATCTTTCCTTCATTTCTGCCCTATCCGTACAAGAGGAATGTATGGTTAATCTTCAAATGCATCTCAACAAACCGATTACTGAGTCATCATTATTAATGCCTTGTTATATGAGCCATTTGACTCAAGTGAGTATTATTGTTGGAATCTGACTATTAAGTTTCTTGCTATTGTTGAATATTTATAATTTAATATTTAATGGCTCTATTTGTCTATATCAGCTCAAATGTGACAATTGGCATGCAACAGCCCCCGCTGTAGTATCCGACTCCATCGGCCCAGCCCCATTTATTCAAATGCAAGATGGGAAACTAATTTATGCAGGGTCAAAGTACACTCCGTACTTTGAACCACTTGTGGATGGCTTCACCACTCTTGCAATGACGAGTTTAGGAACTTATACCGAGGGATCAAAATCTACTCCTTCTCAGTCTTCTTGTGCTAACACGCCATCTCAAACGCACTTTTGGGAAACACCAATTGGAGGAGTTTCGAATTTTACGATGTTGGAAAATAATAAAGATCCGGCTGGTGATGATGATTTTTATCGAACCCTACTGTGTTCAGATACGGATAGAGTGACCACAAACGTATCCACTGACTCTACGACAATCATTGTGAGAACGAAGAATGATATCAATATAATGGTTTCGCCCATGCTGTTAGAAGCTCTGAAACGGTTGGTTCAGTTCAATATAATTTTATGAATGGTTTTTGTTTATTGGTGGCATTACTAAAATACTCGAAATAATTTGTTGTTAGGTTCATTGAAGCAATAACACCAACATTGTCCTCACTTCACCCACTGACTGTGGTCAACCATCTGCACAATGACTGCATTTCTAGGGTGGAAAAAGCTAACATACTCAAAAAAGTAAAATCTGCCATACTCTCAAAGATTCATACTAGTAAGCGTAATACTGCAATAAGAACGGAGGAAACGGCAAGTCCAGAACATTCCAATTTATATGAAGAAATCAGTCAATCTGCAATTCAGGGTTCAATTCTTTTACCAAAAGTATGATTACATTTTTGTTACAATATCTTACAATATTTTACATTACAATAATTTACGAACTATTATGCTGATCTAAAGTTTTGCATTCTTGATGCTATTTTGCAGATTAATGTCACCCTGTTGCAAGCAAGTGTTGTGGAAGAAGTAATCTCATTCTCTGCCTTGGATAATATTCGAGACTTGATGTGTGTTTCTCTTTTGGCTGTTGCCATTGAAAAGACTCATATTCATTTTCTTCACCGGAAACAAATTAAAAAATCTGTACAAGTGCTTCAAAGACCAACGATCCTTCCAAAAATGCAAAAGAAGCGTAAAAGCAAAGTTTCAACGAGTGATTCACTAATCGCGGAACCAGTGTTTCTGGAAAATTCTGAAACTCAAAGTGAGCTTTTATCCGCTTCGTTTGATATTCACAGAATACATGGCCAGCTTCGAAGGTATTGTTTTATAATTGTGCATGCATATATCTTATGCAATGTGCTCTTGTGTAATTAAATAACTGTAACGGAGTTACAATTATTTCATCTTTTCAGGCTGAAAAATGATAGTTCCATTTTGAAAGAAGCCGTGATAACTGCAATACCAAATCAATGTACCAAAGTACTATTTAAATTCGCCAAACTTCCAATTGGTCCCCTAGACCTGAAAGACAGCTCCTGTTCAGACTCATCCCACAACATTGCTTCCTTTTCTGGAGCAGGAGATGAATTAAAAAATGACGAGAAGATGTCAACTTCCCACTCACATTCCACATACTCTTCTCAAAATCAGCCACAGCACCAGACTAGATGTCCGGATGAGAAACTGGGATTTATAATGTTTGAATGTGGTCTAGAGGGCATTTCTTTGAAAGGGGTCAAAAACTCTGAAGCTGTACCAAAATCGAACGATAAAGAAGAAACTATTAGCGTCACAATTTGCAACGAAGTTGCAAGTCATCGAGCATCATCGCCAAATCTGGCTTCCGAAACTTGCGAGTCTGACCGAGATACAACAATAATGTGCCCGCTTCAGAGCAAAGACGATATTACTACGACAGCCATTGGAGATGGTGTCCCGCCTGCTACTACGTTACCACAACCCACCATCGTAGAACCTGACGCGGTGGATGGTGCAGGAAGTAGTAAGGGAATGGGGAATGAGTTGATGAAAACGGGTGGTGCTGCAAGTGTGTCGTGCGTTATCGAATTCAAAGTTATGTGGTACAACTTTGCTGCTCCACCACAAACACCAATCACGCGAAAAATTGATTATACTAGGTTAGTTGGGTAGTTTGAATCTTAGGGGTTTGTACCAATTAACAATAATATCTGTATGCGTTTTTTTAAAATTTAGAGTGGACTGGAACTTGGTGAGCACGGCTTCCACTGCTATTAACGCTTGGCTCAATCCCATCGATCAACTGACGATTGCAATAGTGGCAATGATAAAAGGACATTCAAAGAGAAGCTCTGGCCTACTGGCATCGTTAATGGCGGAAGCGTTAGACTGCCAAAGTATTCATCAGCCGATACGGGTAATCCGAACTTACAAAAAATTTAAAAGACTTAATTTTACAATTATTACTCCTAAGTCATTGCTTCACTGTGGTATTATTTTAATATTTTAGAGTAAGTATAGCAAATTGACGCCACTGGCAAAAACGTTACAAGAAGATCCCTCTTGTCAACTATGTATCGTTCTACAACGTTACATTCGTCAAACGGAAATGAAACAGATCGAAGCAAACATGAGCGAACAAAAACTCCCCCCATTATCTACATTAAGACAAGTGCTTAGAAATTAAAATACGCAGATTATATTTTTTTCAACAAAGGAGTAACGTAATTTTATTATTTTCCATGTTTCAGGGAGTCATTGTGTTAAGCAGACAATGGAAGAATGTGCTGTACACTCCTTTGCTGTTGGAACATAATCTAAAATCACGAAAGTCCAAAAATTTCACTGTGACTTTCACACTTCCTCAGAGTGACGAGGTAGTTAATGTGTCTATTTTCGATGATTTTATCATAGGCAGCTTAAATGGAAATGTTTGGAATAATTTTCAGGAAAGCCCTGGTTCCGATGCAGAAATGTCAGTAGAAGAAACTACGGATGAACGTGCCACACTTCTTGACACTGAGGGTGGAACTTCATCTTTACAATCCATGCGATTCAACAAGCGTTAGTTTCTCTTTATACAATATGAATTCGTACATGATGTGAATTGTGTTCTTATATATATTGTAGAATCAAAAGGTAGCAGTTGTTCGTCTACAAGTGACATGTCTGGAGAAAACAAGGTATTATTCTGCTAGCATTTTTATTTAATATTTTGTCAATCGAACTATTTATTTAAATTTCAACCTTCCTAGAAAACTTTGCCATCACAACCTGTTCCAAATTCAACCAGAGCGAGCGACGTATATCCTTTGACAAAAAACTTCAATGTAAACTCCTTATTTGCTACTGAAAGTGCTGCAAGAGAGAAAAGGTATACAAGTATTACTTGCATCCTCACGTTGATTAATATATGAATTGCATTAAACTTTGTCTATTCTTTAGATCTGGCTCCATCGCAAGCGTCCTGACTGGCAACTGGTCGATGAGTAGTGCGGAGAATGACAATGACAATAAAGGAGAGTCTGGAAGTACTCCTGGTGCGAAGCGAAAAAATCGGTCCAACATTGTTCGCCAAGTAAATGATTGGACAACTTCCAATGAAGCTGCTGCAAATTATAATGCAAGTTACAAATTTATTAAGTAGTGCAATGCTAACTATGACTCATAAAAGTAATACCATCCGTAATTTAATGAAATTTAGACTCCCCGACTAAGCGCCATGATGTCTGAACAAAGTCATGAAGAGAGCTTATTACTCGGAACTCATTCTAAATTTCCACAACATCCCTCCCTCATGTTATTAGACGCACATGTAATTTTCCAACCTTTGCTGACCAGCTTGGGCCTCATGCCGCACCAAATTATGGGATACTCTTTAGACCACCTTGGATCACACATGTCCATCAAAGCTTCCATTGACACATTACGGGTTGATATTGTGGAAAGTGAGGTAAAGGGAGTTGGAAGAGGAAGCTTAAAGGGTGGAAAAATTCCAAGTAATAAAAATACATTTATAATTCCCAAGTTTGGTATTTTAAAATAATAATTCTATTTTGCAGCATTTGTCCTCAACATTTCACCAGAAACTCCTGCATTCCTTTGTGAAAAAATTGGACTCGAGGGCGACTTTCAAAAGTCTACGGATTTGTCTCGAGAAGTTATCAACAAAAAGAGTGTTATCTATCTTTCAAGAAACTATTGGAAGAAACAAGCCAAAAGTGCCGTTATTTTCAGTTTGAATATTGATTACATTTCGCAACAGGTAATAATTTAAACTTTAAACCTAATGCCATTTTTACGAGTTTCTAAAACATTGTTATGAATCTCCATTAGGTAAACATGCCATTGTTGAGGCTGCTTCATCAAATAACGACCATGTACCAAAATGTTCGCGAGACTCAAATGGAACTAAGGGAACAACGACCAAGTGAAAATATAGAAGAAACAAAAGTGCGCAAAAATAGTTCCTCTGGTTCCGGGTCCGACATTCCAGAACAACAGAATGCCAAAGCTTCCAAACTTGTGGATACAGATAAACTTGCAGTTCCAGACGAGAAGGAATATTCCGTGTCACCAACGGCTGCAGCCTCAAATACTCTAAACACTTCCAGTTCGTCTACAAAAGGTTCTGCAATTGCAATTAGGACTCAGAGTTTTGCTCAACGATTCAAATCCAGTGCAATGGCTGTAAGAGGTAAGAGTAATACTTTAAGCAATTTACTGTGATTTTTATAATGATTGAGATATATTGAGACAATTGAGAGGGTATAATTTTAATTAATTAGGAAGCAAACAAAATATGGATATAGTTGTGAGAACTTCCAGTGCTTCACAAACCCCTACATCTCTCCGTGGTCCCGAGTTTCCAGAACCCAAGCCGGAGCCTCCACCTGTAACACCAGTACCGGAAGTCGTAGTGACTGCCGTTCATCCCAATTGTTGGAGAACAATATACTATTTGCTGGATCTTTATGCCACTCGGCCTGAAACCAAAACAATCATTAATAATAGGTAAGTACTTGAAAGTATACATTTTTAAATCAGCGATTAATCAACAATTCATACTCATTTTATGCTCGCAGACCTCAAGTACTCCACGATACGACAGATCCATATCATTTGAAACCACCTAATCGACTGTCTTCTACAAAAGTGGAAGGCGTAGGAAAGGACCATTTGGATGATGCGGAGAAAGGTCAAGCACAAAGCCAGGAACCAGCATCAGCAGTGATTCTTCCCACCTCATATGCTACCAGTTCACTAGAAAAACAAAAAGACCTGAGTGTAGAACCTCCTAGATTCTCCATTTTTGTGGTGGCCAGAATTCAACGAACTAGATTACTGGCTTCACTCAGTGGACTCAAATTGGAGGCTGAAATTATGAACCTTCAAGCAACTTCGTCATATAATAGGAAACTGCGACCAATCGCAGTGGACATGTCACTCACAGGGCATGTGGGTCAAGCCCTAATTGTTCTGCTAGAAGGAATTGCTCCAAACCAACAGTACGTCGGCATATTGACTTTGTTTCTATACAATCCCTTCAGAGTTATAAAAAAGTATTAATTGCACATATTCTTGGTTTCAGAACTGTTGTACGAGTTTCTATCGCCAAATCTGCTGCTCTTTACTCTGGTTTTAGCCGAAGGACAAAAGATCGTAATTCAGGACTCTTGAACGTTGGCCCAGTACATATCGACATTCCTCAACATCCAGTGGTATTGCATGGAATGATGACCAGAAGTACAAAACAGTTGTCCAGCACTTTACAAGTATGAATATACATGTGAATAAACGTTCATAAGTTAATATAAATTAATAAATATAAAATACTCCATTTTGTTAGGAATTCCGGGTGAATAGAACAGCTAGCAGAATATCGAGAGGAACCACATTTGATGAGACAGACTTTGCTGCTCATCTTCCACACTTGCCTCAACACACAGTACCTGAAACTATTCCAGAAAAACCTCGCAAAGCTTCAGACACTGCTTTCTTCCAACCATTGCAAATGCAATTCTCCGTGACCCTTGACGTAAGTCTTTATTTATTATAAAAGGTATTTAAAAATTTACTTGTACATGTTATAATCTTTACTCGTAATTTATTTATGTTTCACAGAGTTTGAGCATAACTGCTTCATTGCTGCCTTCGTTACAAGCGCAGTACAAAATGGAGAAGGTCAAAAGCTGTGGCGTTACCGGAAGTAAGGCCAAATTCCAAATAAATTTACCTGGCCATAATCTCAGCTTTACAACAAAAATTACGGTACATTAATCAACACATATACACCACATATTTATGCGAATATGTATTTTCTGAATTACTACATCATTTATTCTCTGATTTGAAGGTCTCCGAGGCAAATCTTCCATCCGCAGCTAGCATAGCACTCCCACATATTGATGTGACTGCTGAATACATACAAGATGGTGTCAAAGGCCCATCAGATGCTCAAATCTTGGACGGGGTAGTTTTGCGTCATGGAAGTTATTTGAGTGCATCTGCAAACATTGGCTCTTTTGAACACTGTCTCACCACTGATTTGTTAAATCATTTGCTATTTGTGCAGAAAGTATGAGTTGGATTTCTAAGTGGTTACTAAACAGACGGTGAAATAACTCTACAAAAATTCTTTACTATTACAGGTGTTCATGAAAGAAGTGAATGAAGTCGTTCTTAAAATGTCGGGAGGAGACAAACCAGTACCATTGTGGGAAGATGAAGGGTCCAGCTCCCTTGGAAGTCTCCTTTTTACTCTTGCAGTTCGCCTGAACGGAATCCAAATCACAGCCACAACTCCAACGAATACGGCAGTTCGGCTGGAAACGGGCGAACTTGAGTTTCAAATGTCAAACAGAGTTCAAGGAATGTCCACATCAAAGGCGACGACAAACACAACATCAAATCCAATGAATACATCCACGGGATCAACAACAGCAAGACAAGCAGCCACTTTCAACAATAAAGTTTTTGTTAAAGCTCAAGTTGATGTGAACTTGAGTCTTGGACAATTGATCAGAAATGTCGTGTTTGAAGAAGCAGAATCTGAGTATCAACAATATGCCTTTTTTAAGACTCGAATTGGTAAGCTTTACTTGTGTGTAATCTTCCGTACATAGTTTGATATACCCAATGGCTTCTTTAAAATATTTTAGCTTTACGCAACGCCCTTTCTGATGAAATCAGTGGAGCTGATGCTGACAAAGAAGTTGTACTAATCACACTTACTCGACCTCTAATATATGTTCAACCAGTCGCAGTCGACAAAGCTATTCTCGTTTGGCTCAATTATAAAAGTGCATATGAATACTGGAACGAACAAAGGAGTTCGCTAAATACTGAAGTTTTAGCGGCTATGCCCTCACATTGGGTCAGTCTTTTAAATACTACTTAATTAATCCAAACTTCATTAAGAAACAAATCATCAAATTTTTATTTTTATTTATTTCAGCAACACGAACGACCCACGATTCCAAGTTTACACGAACAATCAAGTACTCTGTTTCTTCAACTCACTGTAGACGACATGGGTGTCTCCATTCCATTGAATCCCTCTCCACATGTAATAAAAATTTGATTGCAAATTGATATTGCCTTGGTTAAATACCGGCCGTACGTATCCTAATTCATTTTGAAATTGCTAGGCCTGGACGGGAAGAGCAGAAACTGACAATCGAGGCGCAGTTGTTCTCACCTTAGAAAGCACAAGTATTTCGGCCTGTAGTTCAGGTTCTCTCGTTAGCAATGGGAAATTTACAGGGCTCTGTTTCCGTTTTACGGACGACATGGTGTCGATGGATGGTAAGTTAATGACTTGAGTTCAATGACTAAGCATTCGACGAAATTGAGTGACATATTCTTTCGTTTAGATTGGAAACCCAACTTTCATGATCCAGCAGTAATGAATTTTTGCGTCGTTTCTGAAGGAACATATGAAGGTAAATTATAAAATGACAAATTTGAATGTGATGATCAAGTTCATGTATTATCAGTATGAATACAATTTTCATAGTCTAGATAATTTAATTGTAATAATTATTTTTCGTTTTCTCTTCAAAGTTTGCTCAAAAACTACATCACAACATCAGCAGCATGGTATGAAATGTTTATTTGTAACATGTTTGTTTTTTATCAATGTCGTTCTTCTAAAAAAATCTTTACCATTAAATTCTCCTCCTTGTAGATAACGCAAATGCCAAATGGTTTTTAAACGTAAAATGGCAAATGGAGGGTGTTGATATGCATGTCGATGTTAACGTTGGAAAGCAGCTATCCGCTCTGGGTCATACATTAACCACTTTGGCCGCGTTTGAAGAAGATGAAGACGAGGAAAATTCTGAACGGGAAAATATCTTTAATAACGACGATGCCACAGAATATTCTGGTGGGATGTCAACACCTGGTCGTTCTATATCTCAAGTGAGTTTACCACCATTATTTAAGCAACTCAAGTAACAAATTATATTATTTTTTTTCGTTTTTTTTTGCTCCGCAGGAATCTGTCGTAGTCCTTCGTCGACAAAAATCAACAGTTGGTGAAAACCTTCCAAGTTTCCTAACCGATCCAAGTTTGGGTCCCAGACAGAAGAGAAGTCTTTTAGAAAAGGAGATGCAGGAAAGGGTGAATTTGATTGAAGAATTACAAAAGTCGGGAGCTTCGACATCAAGAATTGAAGAAGAGCGTAGGCGTTTGCAAGAGCTGGAGAACTTTGCATTTAGGGTAAGTAGCTGTGTAGCTGTTGGAGGTTCAGTCTTGATTTTGTATAATAGAAACTGATTTTTATGAATGTGTGTAGGATTTTAGACGTGATTGGATTAAGAAACTGCGCCGACAAAGTACTCGAGCTTCAAGCAAATTCGGTCTTGGATCTACAAAACCATTACAAATGAGATCCAAGTCGCTAGCAATGCCTACACCAGAGTCAGAAAAGAAATTCGATGTCGGAAGGTATGTTTGACTAGAAAATGATTTACATCTTATATAAAGTTTCCTATTAAAAAAATAATCTTAAGTAACATGAAAAGTAGTGTAAAATGCTCAACTCACACTGCAAACTTATATATTGTGAATTACAAAAATCGTAACTTTCATGTCATTATGATTAACTGTTAAATATATGCTTATTGTCACGTTGAAGTAAGGTTAGTCATAAATGTGCATTTAAACTTGGGACCTATCTATATGGTCAAATGAAATTGTACATGTTTAGATTAAATCAAGCAGTTCCAAGAATCACCAATATTTGCATTTATTAACCATTAAAATATTCTATCAATCTTAATTTTATGTCAATGTAATCTTTATGTGTATCTGTTGAAATCTTAAATTTTTCGCAAGGTAAAAATTGTGCAGGAGTGTGAATATGTGTGGTGATAGCTTTTCGGTTATTGGTTAAATGTTTTAAAATGTGATAATGGTTGATGGGAACTTTTGTATGTTAATTGTTAGCCCTGTCGAATCGGCTTCTCCTCCAAGTACAGAGAGTTCACCTCCACGTGACGGACCCTCACGTGGAGGTTCCCTTCGTTTTAGAACTAAGCAAAGGGTTACGTTCGGAGAAACCCAGCGGTACAGTATAATTACCATTCATTGCGGGCAGATACATATTTATTTGTGTTCTGTTATTTTTTGCGTGTATGTATTTATGTATCTGTCCTTTCTTTTATACATAGCCATTTTTTAGGTAGATTTAGATACTTGTCTTTAGCAATTATGTTCTCGTAGTTATTGCATCAATTCATTTGACGTTGTCTGCCTGCCTGTCTGCTGAAAGCAATTATTTGAGTATAGGATGATCCAGTTCTCTATATATATTTATTTAGCTGCATAAACTTTAAACGCTTTTTATTTTGTATCTCCTATGTTCTTAAATTCTACTTATTTGTGTCCTATTTTTATTTATTTGCACGAAGATTGCATGATTTCGCTACATTACAATGGCTGTTTTTTTTACTATTTTTATTTGTTATCTATTATTTAAACCCTGAAAGTGTGTAGTTATATTAAATTAACATGTTTGCTGTGTGTAACCCAACAGACAGTTTTCCGTGGATAGTGCAAATCTTACGACTCCAGATGAAGAAGAGTACGCAGGAGTGTGGCTTGACAATACTGATGGGTTAGTTTAATTGCTTTATTTGCACCGGTTTTAAATTTGAAGTGTGTTTTCTGTTTTTATGACAAACTTTAAAATAGTTAGGTGATAATCTTAACATGTGTATGTAATTTACAGAAACAGTTTGGATGGCAGAGATGTCAGTGGTCATATGACTCCAGGCAGTTCCGTGTCCCACAAGGCGCTAGAACCCAATGTCGATTTGGAGTTGGACGTCAAAGTGTTCATCAACAGTGGGAAATGTGTTTTACATACAAAACCTAAAGATGAGGATTCGGAATCTCGGTAATTAACATCAAGACGATTTTCGTAATTTGAGACATCTCATAGGAAACACTATAATAAAACTGTAACAGGACTGGAAGAAAACGTAGTGAGCGAAGTGGTTCTGGATTTGACTCGGGATTACACATTAGTAGTCCTCTGTCCTCTAGAAAAATGCGTCAAAATGTTTCGCAAACCAGAATCAAATCTCCATTTGGAAATATGACGGGGCAAACGGACGTTACAGTATTTCACATTCCGGGACTAGATGTCAAAGTTCATTATGACTCCCACATTCTATACGAAGAAAAAGAAAAGGACATCTTGCTTAGCTCCCTAAACCGTCCAACACACGAGCGTTCAGATTCAGGGAGTAGTAGTGGAACTTTGGGTGGTTTTAATACTGGTGGAATTAAAAAATGTGGAATCAAGAAGGCATCACTCTTTGCCTGGATCACTCTACATTCCGTTCCGGAAGAGACAATAATTAGTCCACATATTTTGGACTTTCTTGAACAAACACTAGAACCCATTCCTATCCCCGTTAGTCAAAAAAGTTTTGATGGGAACAGTATGGCTGGTAATGTTACAATTATATAAATACGACGCCTGAGTGAATGAATTAATATGTAATAAATAATTTGTGGTTTGCTTTTAGACGGAGCAAGTGGTGTTGCAAGCACGTATTATGCATCATTCCCTGTCGACGTCGTTGTCTACTTTCATATGCAACCTTCAACATTCCGATTTTCCTGCCAGCCAATCTCCAGAGTTGAATGCATGCTAAGGTTACCCTCGCTAGACATTGTATTTTCGTCTAAACGAGCGGAAGAAGATGCAGAGTAAGTGTCTAAAAGAACTATTTTAATTTTGACTATTGATGAATTTAATTCTGTATGCGTTTCGTCACAGCACGTTCTGTGGGTCTGCAAGTGTAGCTGCTGCTGCAGCGGCGGCGGCGGCTGCAAGTTCTGCTGCCAGTTCGAAACCACGAACGTGGAAATCATCCTCCGATTTTGGTGGTGTCAAAGAAAAGGAAAGTCAACAGCTCGCTGTCGGAGGACTTAGTGTGACCGGCTGTTTGTCTGACTTTTCAGTCTATATTTTCCATCCATATGGTGCGGCGAAACGACAAGGTATAGTTTTTTTATATTGAAATTAAAATCATTTGAGCTAAAAATTAATGTGAACTATTCTCGGTTGAAATAGGAGAATGGAGCCCACTGACTGACAACGAAAGAAAAGATTCTGTTAGCATGAACGTTGAATTTGTGAAGCTGCATTTATCACGAACCAGGAAAATTCATGTAACTGTGCCCAATCCCAGCACCTCGGACAGTCGTATATTCCATCAAGTTAATAATGACAATCAACAAGCTGCAATTCGATTTTCAAGTATGCTAAAAAAATTATAATTTTTATAGCTAAAGTGCATCTGAATTATTAATATATATATTTTTTCATTTTATTTAATGAAATAGGTATCGTTGACATTGGGTCGGCTTCTTTCAAATACGATATGCGCCGTTTGACTGAAATCCTAGCTTTTCCAAAGGCTTGGTATCGCCGGTCAATTGTTCGTCGTTTATTTCTAGGAGACTTGTCAACTGCCTCAGTGTATGGCGACGATGCATCTCTTGAAACGGGGACTGGTGGAACTGGGGTCTCAAACTCGGGGAACAGTAGTCCTGTATTTCCTCATAAAGGGTGAACAATGATAAAATTGCATGCACTTTTTATCTTTCCTTCTTTAGAATCAACATTAACAAGTGTTATAAATTGGTCATTTTTAGCGAGGATAGACGCAATTCCATTACGTTTGGAATGAATCCTTCACAGCGAGAAAAATTACGACTAAATTTTGACAATGAAAAAGAACGTAGAAGAGGAAGTAAATTAGATTGTGAGAGACTCTCTACATATATTGCATGGCTTCTCTTATTATAATCATACTCTAAATTGCAATATAATCTTTACTGTGCCTTATATTATAGTTATAGGTTCCAATAGATCCCGTGGCCATACTGATGCTGATTCCAAAGAACTTTCAAGTGGAATTTCATATTGGGAAACACTTGTTTTGTTTACAGTTAACTTTACGAAACTAAATGTTCACATGAACATGGGGAACGTTATGGGAAATGTTTAGTAAGTTTGGTTTATAAAGGTTATCTTTTGCTTATAAATACAATACGGGGCTAATAAATGTTTTTTTAAATTAATAGTTCAATAGTTAGCGGTGCAAAATCTGATGGAAGAATCTCCATTGGAAGCACTGGTCATAAGAACGTGTACGTTGCCATCGGAGTAGATTCTTCCTTTATTGACGCTAAAGGTGGCATTGTTGCTGGAACATTTGAGCTGACGCAACTGAGCACTTTCGGTCGTGTTAAGGAAGACCCAGGAGTGGAACCACATCACAATATCGGACTCAAAATGTATGGAATGGAACTTCGACTTGATTTCATGGGTACGAGCGCTTTGATGGGGCGCGTGAGTGGGTTAGAGGTTAATCTCAAGGACGAATGGCATGTGAGAACTGGCCACAGGACACCGAAGGATGTTGCACTGGCCACTTACAGGTTTAAATTACTACCAAATGCCCTTTAGTGGATGATTGATCAAGAAAACTCTTAATTGTTTTTTGTGTTATCTTGCAGACCTGCAATGGTTTTCATTCATGGTGACATGACCTGGGATCAACTGCAATTAATGATTTCTAAATCTACAACAGTTGACTTGCTGAAGATGCATTGCAAGTTAGAAGAATTCTTCAGTCAGCAGTTTAAGAGCAGTAAATATGTATTTTCTACGCTACAAGTCCAAGAAAATACGTCTTTGACTCCATCACTTGCTCGAAAGTCTCAACGAAAGTTACCAGAAGGTATCGCTCGTCAGACTAAAAGTAAACTTTTATATAAGTCATTAGATAATGTGATATTATTTTTAGGTGGAATGTGGGAAGAATTAAAGCATCATCGTCACTGGCAAGAGGTTTTGAGTAAAGTTTCTCACATGGCGATAAGTTCAATGCCAATCCCTCTTCCGGAAAGTGGAACAGTGCTTGGAGGAACAATGGATCTTCACGGAAACAACATTTCTCTAGCGTGCTTCCACGGAATCAATTTCAAAGCAAAATCTTGGGCATTGTTCAGCTTGAAAGAACCGTTGATATCTTTCTCCACAGAGGCACAAGAAACACATTCGGTAAGGCAAGAATAATCCACAAACACAAGCAGGATCAATTTGAAACCATACATATTTGCATATATATTTATGTATGATGAAATTATTTATTTTGCAGTCTTCAGACGTGGGATCCGTTCATGTTGTTCAAAATCTCAACTTTTCACTAGGACAGCAAAACCAGCACGCTTTGACGATTAGCAGTGTGCAACATGAGAGTATGGCGATGATCTGCAAAATTACTAGAAATGTAATGTTTCCTCCACAATTCCGAACGTTGCATGAATGGTTTCATTATGCTTTTGCACCAAGTGAAATTGATGGTAATTCTATATTCTGATGATCAACTTTAATTTAGAATTTAGTAATTAATTATAAATTTGTAATTCTCACAGATGTGCAGAGATTTCCAAGCTTGGAGAAAGAGCGAGAACGCTTAGAACGTGAGCGTGCAGATTCTGGTGGATCTGAACGCAGGGCCCCCGCAAGACTTCACGATCCTAATCACAACAGAGAAGTAATTTTTGCACTACCAAGTTTGGAATTATTCTTTAAAACGGAACATCTACAAGCTTGCAAAACACCAGACTCAGGAGGTACCATAAGAAAGCATAAAATAACATTTCAATATTCTATATTGTAATTTTTTGCATCTGCAGGTACTAGACCGGTTGTGGAATGCAGTTTTATCACGGAATTCGGAGACCATATTTTTGTAACTGTGGATGCGGAAGCTTTCTTTTTCTTGCATGATTTGATTACATCCTACGTTAAAGAGAAGGAGAAACTGGCAAGTCGTCCAACTATTTTTTAACGAAACATCTATTTTTTAAGTTTCAAACTAACTTTCTTTGTTTCCTATGCATACTTAGGTATCTGCCCAGTTGGCTGCAGGGCGAAGCCAGAGCCCCTCTGTCCGTGTCGAAGATACTGACGGGTCAAGTCATACCTCCACCCCACCACCACCCACTTCCTCCTCCGCCTCCAAAGACTCTAGCCATTCCAACTCCAGCACAGGAGATACTTCCAACTTATTGTTCAACTCGATTGATGATGAATCTGCACTTCAGCGTGATTGGCGAGATTACCTCTGCAAAACTTGGCAACTTGAACCTACCGTTCGTCTCTTGTCCTGGGCTGGGAAGAGCATCGAACCATATGGAGTTGATTATATTCTTCACAAACTAGGATTTTCCCATGCTCGTATCACAATTCCAAAGTGGATGCAACGAGGATTTTGCGACCCTCTCGACAAAGTGTTATCAGTCCTTATATTTAGGATGATTGACATTGCCAAACGTGAAAGTCAGCCCCCATCCCATCGAGAAGGGACACCACGACATTGACAATTCTGATAATCTACAAGAAACTTACCATACTCTGAAGCAATATCCTTTTATCCAATTCTACATAATAAGTAGTAACAAACGTAACGAGTCAATAACAAATAGACTTTTTGATATTAACTGTGGTGCTGTTAAAGTGAGCATTTGAAATATTTTTGTTCTTTTTAAGATTGTTCGTATCGTGTTAGTATTACTAGATATACAAATGTGCTAATTCCTTATTGTAACCCTTGATTGTGATGTAATAGATATATAAATAGACAACAAAACCAGGTTGCTGTAAGTTTGGAATTACAACTGCAGCAGCATTAGTTAGCGACAGGGAGGAAATCTTATTATATAGTCATTACGCAAATATGAAAAGTGACAATACCTTAAACTACGTCAACCTTCCATTCACTCAAACTGGAAATCAAACTGACAACACATTTCTAAATCATAATGATAACGCTACCCGTTTATAAGTATAGCATGTAAGTTTTATTGCACGCTTCACGCACCTTCCTGCCTTAAAACTCTCAAAAAGTGCTTTACTTATTTTATCTACACTTGAGTGAGCTATTTTATACGTAGGCGGAAGAAGTAGCACAAAAATACCAGGATTATTTTCGGTTAGCACACAAATTAGTCGTATTCGTGATTGTTGTTGTAAACCTAACAATTAACTTCACATTACAACGTGATCTTGTTATAGAATCAAAGAAGAGTTAGTTGAAGAAATCATGGGAAAGTATTTATACGTTTTTAACCTGCATTCACACGCATCAACATCATCTTATACAACATTAATTATATGTTATGCAATGCTTTCATAAATACTTTTACCAATCAATGAAAAATATATACGTATAAAACTAAATTGCTTAAAAGCACTTGAACTGTTAAAATTTAGTGATTATTATCATTGTTTAAAATTAAAATAATGACTGCTTAAGCCGGTCGTCTCGAAAAATATAGATGTGTAGTGTAGTATTTCCTGATTCAATAAATGATCAATAAGTGACATGTACTAAAAAAATGTCAGTTTCAGAAATTTTATTACTTTACTTTTGAATCGTCATAATATAATTAAGATATCACAGTTTATAGTGGACATTAGCTAGCCTTTTTTTATTAGAACCATTACGTGCTTATAAAAAGGCACTATGTATTTCTCTTATCTCTATAAATAAATTAGAAAATTTTACGTCTCTGTTACATTCAGGAGGATTAGTCACACAAGAGAATCAATGATTAAATCAATCGTTAAAATCAATGGCGTTTACATATATACGGTTAATTACAAAAGTGACAGCTACAGAAAAGAGAGCAACGTTATAAATTAAAATTATAACGTGAACATAAATACGTACTTTCGCAACATTGGAGTGTACCCAACTATTTTTTAATGTAACGATTAATTACTTTGAATCTAGATCTATTTTTATGGCATTTCAAATTAAAATCTTTCGACATATGTATTACGAACAAAGCGTGCTTTTGAAGAAAAGTGTGCGTGTGTTTTAAGCTCAAGTTACAAATAAAAATAACTCTGCACAGAGTTAAGATAATAGAAAACAAAAGTAAGGGATTCGAGAATATAATAAAATTTATTTCGTAGAAACTTCCGAGTATAGGCACCAATTAATTTCCTTGATCGTGGGACGCTGAAAGAATCGTATCCTGACTGGATAATTGATAGAGACTTTTTAATCCCGCTAAGTAGTATTACTTGGGTTGTATTAGGTTGGTTGGTCAAGGTCACATTTGTTTTTGGCAACATGAAAAAGCGTATTTAGCAGAGTACAACATACATATAGCTGCTTCGCGATGGGTGCGGCAGTAACTTTGCACATTAGCTCCAAAAGGACTGAAAGATAATTAATTAAAACACATTACAAACACACATGCATAACATCAATTACTTAAACAAGCGTAATTTCATTAAATACAAATTCTTGAATATCAAAAGTTAAATCTACCGTTGGAACGAATTAAAGTCAGTTAAAATGCATACTATACTTATTGTGTCTGTCGCTAATTAATATTTGTTGCTTGAAGTTTACGGAAGAAACAGGTTTGAACGAATTGTCGACAATTCAATATACTCGGAATTCAATAAATTCGAATTGAATATTGGAAAGTTTTGCGTTTTTTTACGAATTTACCAAAATGACTCTGTCTTCTTCGTTCCGACAACGCATGGTCACGTAGCAAATTCCAATCACAAACAAGCTTGTAACTCCTGTGCTGAGAATGATGTAAAATATAACAAATCCGATGGTAGGGATTATTGAGAGCAGTTTAACTTCTGGTCCAATAGAATCATCGATATGAGCAGTTTGTCTAAACCAGATTGCAGGGAAGTAGATTTTTGGAACGTTGCGCAGGATGCTGTAAAAGATGAAATGATAACAATTAATATCATATTTAAGATTTAAATTATTTTAACATTGTTATTACCTGAATTCTTTCATTGGTTGGAGCAATATATTAATTTGAAGGGCTGCTGAAACCTCGAGAGGAATTCCAGAATTCTAAAAAATATATATATTTGTAATTGTAAAAAATTTGTAAAAAAAAGTCTTATAAAAACTAATTAATTTCCATACTGGTTCTAAATCCATGAACATTTGATGCTTTGTCTCGTTAGGTTCCATCCCTTCTACGGTACTCCTATACCAGGGGTCCGCATGGAAGAAATGTGGAAATGAAATATAGGCTGGAGCTCCCCACCTGAAATAGATTATTACATCATATACTTCAATCAGATTTGTACATTTGGCTTGGGTGATATTAATGTTAATACACTCACTTGCAAGATGAAATATCCATCACCCCGTTTGGGGGACATCCCCCGGCAGGACAGAAGCACCAATTATCTGGCCGAGTGGTGGCATTATCAAACATTGTATCATCCGCCCAATAACGATATCCAGCGATCCCATCCACTTCCGTTTCCTCCTTGAAATTAAGGTTGAGCGTTCGACATATATCAGGAACAAAGAGGGAAATTGGTTGTTTAGTTTGCTTGGGTGGAAAAAATTCCCCAGCAGATCCGTTAACGTTTGCACAGTAGGATTTGTAGTAAGTAGTCGATTTTACGTGATTCCATTCTCCCATTTCGCCAAACTTTGTGATGTCATCTCTTCCAGTGAACATATTAAATAGCCCATCGTAGGTGGCTGAACCATTTCGCTGTATAAATCAATACATACAACATTTAAGATACGCATTCCTTGAAATTCTGGGGACTCACGCTTAATATATACTTTTATATTACTTTGTAGAACCATCCAAACTTATCAAAGGGAATGGTGACAGGCACAACTGCTGAAGGCATTAGTTTGGCTAAATCGAGCAATGGGTCGCCATATCCATCAAATAAAAATTCCCCAACGGTCTTCTTTACCCAAATCTTAATTCCTAAAAACTCCATGATCAAATTCAATGCTCCCTTTGCTGCACTGTATTTGCTATCTTGTAAGGCATGCGTAGCAGTCTGGAGAAATAAATAAGTTTACCATTGGAAGTTTATAACTAAAGTGAAAGTCTATATGTAAAGTAAAATCTTGTTGAACTTACAATTGCAGGAATATTTACTGTAAAAATCGTATCGTTTAAATAACCCTTAGACATTGATTGCTCAAAGAACCAAATTCGGTTTTGAAAATATGTGACAGTGTCATTAAGTGGAAACCAGTCTTGGACGACCTTCACGCGATGTTCTCTACAAGGACAAATGTATAAACAGACAGTTAGTATACATTGCGTAGCACTTAATGCAAATGTAATTGCCCAATTAACATACCTAAACACGTAAGGCCCCACTTCTACCAAAATTGGTTTCTTATTCGGATCATGTAGATCCTTCGGATTTGTCCAGTTGAAAAAGTAAAACTCAATGTACATCGGGATAGGTGTCACTTCCCATAAACCGTAACTCTTAGAATTGTTTGAAAGGGCGAGTTGCTGAAATATGACGTACATACACATTAAAAACCAACGATTTTATTATAATTTTAGCTAATTACTCACATTATTAAGCACGTTGTCAAATAGGGATGGCCAATAAACTGTAAATACGGCACCAATCGTTGATAAGGCCACGCCAATTGTCGTAGCCGTTCCAAGTTTGCAATTTGATGAGAAGCCCATTATTTTCTTAATAGTGTGTCTTCTTCAAAACTTTATTGTCGTGAATAGTTATTAAGAAAGGCTTCGTAATTTATTACGACGATTGATTCGTTATTCTCTTGTCGTCATTATAATGAAAATAATAAAATCTTACAAAATTTTGATAAACGATAATTTAGTCCGATAGTGAAACCTAATTTGGATTTTAATACATTACAAAATACGGGAGAACCTCGTCTTGACTGGATTTAACTAAAACTATAACTTATAGTTAATTACGTTAAAAGTTAAAATAAGTATGTTTAAAATATCACACACTTTTCTACAAGAGTTGTAAAATAATTTCTAAAATCTGTCGTTTTTTTCCTTTCTTGAACTAGTAACTCACTTCTTCTTCGTAACCACTTTCCTTCTCAATGAATGAGTGAGTCAGCCCACTTTTATTGTTATCGTCAAGTTTTTTTATTTATCAAGTGGCCACCACTACTCGTTGTGTGTGTGCTTTATTACAGAACAGAATCTCAAGAACCACAACACTGTTTAATCAGCCCGACTGGCATAATACACTCGTGACAAAGCCTAGAAAAAGTATGAGATTCTCTCGGTGGTGGTGTGATGATGACGACTTTGGCTAAAACGTAGACTGCACATGATTATCATGAGCAAATAGTGCTAGACAATATGCGAATAAATATTGCAAGTAGTAACCTTTTCCAACTCTGGCATTGACTTTATACTTTATACGAGTTGGCATTACATTATTCCATGCAAATTGAATAATAAAATAGCATAAGGGGAAAAATGAGTAGTGGTGATTTTATAGCTGTGTGACTGACTATTGTTATGATTAGCTCTTTTTCTGTTTGCTTTGTAGTCATAAATATTTAGAAAAAATTGGGATGCTAATTTTATGACATGTTTTGGTATTGGCGATGATGGTATGCATGCTAAAAGTGGGAGGAAACGTGGAACTCCTGTGCATGTACAACATCATGAAAAATAAGTTGTATAGATGGAATAGCTGGTTGGTCATTGTCCAGATATGTGTAGTCTGAGGTCATGAGTCACGAGTCAAAGGTCGTGATAACAAGTTCTAAATGTCATGAAATGCTAGAAGTCATATTGTAATCATGCTTAAAAAGATGAGACATGGAGGAGTTTAAGTGCAGATATGTATGCACATTGTTTAGTTTTAGTTGCATGTTGCAGCTTAGTTATGGAAGCACTTTGTATTTAAACTAGATTGACTCAGAGGCCATTAGATTGTATAAAACGAATGTATAGAATTCCAATTTTATGCTTCATGGCTAATTTTTGCGACATTATTTTATTGCGACGTTGCATCAATGACAATAAAAAAGGTTACAAAATAAAGCTAAAATCGGAGTTAAAATGGTCATAATGAAAAATATGAACAGGATTTAAAATAAATAAAAGAACCATCATTTAATTATTTCTGTACACGTTTTCATAAATTAGTGGCAGAACCCTCCTGTTTGGATAAACTATTAGAACTATTAGTTGTATGTGATTTTTCTCCCCGACCCACGTCGACCTCTGCGTCATTCTCCGCATTGGAATTTTTAACCATCACTTTGTCCTGATTTGTGTTGTACAGGATTGTCAGAGGTGGTCCCCGTTCCGTGACCAAAGCATCCTTTTCCATTGGATCCTCTTCTTCGTCTGTGCATGAAATCAATTTTTAGCCCGAGTCAGGTTTATGTCGTTTCTAACTGTCCGAAACACGATAGAGGCTGAACCATTGCACACATGAGTACTATGCAAATGTAAAAGCTATCGAAGATGAGCCAAATCAGTCTAGTGTTTGACCGGTGGGGGTCATGTAGGTGATTGGGGTATTTAAAATTTTGGACTATTAGCTGGTAACGAAAGTTTCTGAGGCGAAATTCGAAAAACTGTCAACCACAGTGGTCCTAAGTGGTGATCCATGCCGTTTTTTAAAAGTTTCTTTATTTTCATCAGAAATTTGGTATGGAGGTTTAAAATGACTTTTGCGTAGCACATAGAACTTTGGAAGTTTAAGATTTTAAAGAAGCGAACCCCACATGGTACTTTAGGGGATGAATTTGCTACTTCCAAAATTTAGTGCCAAATAATAGAAAATATTGAACAAACATTCGACAGGGGGTTGTAATAGTAAAAAGTACGGTCAATTCGGACAAAAATTTAGAAGCGGACTCTGTCCCTGACTCGGACTAAATGAAATCTGCACTTGTACATAGGTTTTTATTTTTACTGACAAACACAAATCTAGTGAACGCATTATTAAAATAATTATTTTGTGAATTACTTTTCATCGTCAGCTTTTGGTGACGTTTCTGGACCACTTTTTCCAACCAAAGCAAATTGATGATAAAATAGATGAGCCCCACTGCTCCAGCAAAGAGACCAAACCACCGGAAACTTAAACGAGTTCCAACAGCTCCTATTAAGTAGCCTCCGATAAAAGCACCATTGCCTTTTCCTGTATTATGACACATTCACCATAACCAATATATTGCTTATCAGTATACCATGAAGCATTATAATATACCCACCTAAACCATAATGCAGGGAACCCATGACCCCAGTCAGCGTGGCAAGAAGGCCTTTCGGTGCGAGATCACTGCAATAAGTTGCGGCCGCGATCCACATCAAATGATAAGTAAAAGCTTCCATGGCTTCGTAAGGGAAGCAGAAAAAGGGTGAACTGTGTATCAGAGGAAATCAACGCTATAAATTTGTAAAAGCCGTGTAAATTAACAGATCGACAAGTCATCACTCACGTTATGTAAGAGTATCCAAAGAACCGGAAAAAGTATGCAATGAATGCAAAAACCATTATGTTCACGCGACCAAAAAAGTTGAGGATTCTTTCAGATCCGTAGGAGAAAGGGATTCCCACAAAAGACCCGACAGTTAGTGTCAACCCTAAGAGATAGTTGGGGGCATCCAATTCTTTCAGGAATATGAATAAGTACGACTCCACAAAACCCCACATTGTGCCGAGGATGAAAATCATAAACAGGAAGACGACAACTTCCGGATAACTTAGAAGACTTCGAACATTTCTTTAAAAAAAATACAGCAATTTCAATATCTGATAGAATGACAAATTTGGTAAACTTTCAAATTAATAGAGCTTTTGACTTTTACTCACTTCATGAATCCTGCATCCGGTTTTTCCACGTGAAGTTTCATAACAAAATACGTAATCACATTCAGACCCAGGAGGACATTTGAGAGGTAAAATGCTGCCGAATAATCCGTAAAGCCTCGCAGCCTTGATACGTAGTCAACCAGCAATCCAGCAATTGGGGACACAATTCCAAACCCGAGAACTGAAAAAATTCGTTCCTTCCCGTACTCTGCTTCGCCTACCGTTTTGATAATGGCGAGCGTGGTGGCGTCCAAGAGCGAGAAACATGAATTCATGAACAATGTTGCCAGCACTCGGAGTGAAAAATAGGACCAAAATGTTACACTGTTATTCCCTCGAATCTCGACATTTCCAGTTGGAACGGTAACATTGGTCTCGTAAAGTACATCACTTCGTATGGAAACGTTGCTTCTTACTAGACAAGATCCATCTATCCATATCTGACACCCGGTAGCATCAACATTATTCTTTGTGAACTGGTAATTGTTGCAGTGAAAGTGGCCATATTGCTGAGGATCGTTGGCGAACGAGGTGTCGTTGGACGAGCATGACAGGTCGCCAGACGAGGAACAAGGTAGCGTTACCTTGAAGTTGAACGGGACATTGTTTCCGAGATCATCATTTCCGGAATGGATATCAGGATGAGAATAATCTCTTTGTAACGCGCCTAGTATTTCGTCACACTTGGTCGAATCTGTGACTCCAGGCAGGAACAGTCCCGTTCCCGTGGCGTCCGTCCACGTCAGGTAGAATGGGGCCGTGAGAGGAACCTCGTGGTAGGTCGGCACGGCGAGAAGAAGAGAGTGGAAAAGTCCATTCGCCACGGTTGCCAAAACTAGAACCATTTTATATCGTCCCAATTTGTCTGCGAGAAAACCTGCACTTGTGAATGAGAGAGAAATAAATCGTTAATACAGAAATTAGTGCGTTATGAATGAGGTTAAATTTCTAACAAGAAATTGAGTAGTTTCGATATATGGATATAAATTGAAGTATGATAAATTAAGGAATGTATCTTTATATAAATGACCAAGAATTTTTATGTCTGAATACTTTAGTATGTTTTAAGTATGTGTCGGAGCTTATTATGGACGCGTGATCACTGTGGATCCTGAGTCCAAGGTTCCACTGCACTAATATTAATAACTGTAATGTATATAATTATAATCAAAAGGCACACGTTGCGCGTAATCGCATAGGATTTAAAGTGCTATGAGCCTCATGTACATGAAGTACATTAAGATTAAATTTTCAGCCTCAGTTTCCCTTACTGCATGCTCATAAAATTTCTACATAGTGCAAAGTATGGAAACATACATTTGCAAGGCTCAAATATGCATCTGTAATGATTTGGAAACGCACCCACCAACGGCGGACCGAGGAAAGACGTGAATGGGAGGACGGCGTAAATGATGGCAATTTCCTCCAACGTAATTCCAATCTCTTTCATGTGGATGGTCAGATATGGGAGAACAGCGGCCATGGCTGCAAATTTCAATATTTTGAGTTCATAGTGGATATCAGACAGCTTGCAATGATTTGCCAAAAGCGTTAAAATTTGAAGAATTGTATTTTTACCCACCTCCGCAATACAAGAAAAGTACGATTTTTAGAGGCAAAGTTTCTTGATTGACCTTCCACCAGGGTTGATTCGTTGTTTGGTTGGATAATTTATTTGATGAGGTAGAACTGACTGAGAGTGAAATGCCTCCATTTTCTTCTTTTTCCATGTTTAAATTAAATGACTAATTAGCTACGATGATCTTTTGTAGAAGAAAAAGCTAGTGCATGCAGAATCAAACTGGGACCAAATAGATAAATGATTGCTGAATAAGTCGAATCAATGTATTTATTAGGTAATTGATGTACGTGCCACCCACAGAATGAACTACTTAACGACGGCAGATGGACTACTCGAAATACGCGAGATAAACAAATAAGGATATCATAAAATAACACGGGATTGTGATGGATAACACAAGGTGACAAATAATAAGTGATTGGGTGACATGGACAATGTATTCCTTCAATCTCATCATGACATTTTAGTGACAGTTATGGATATCCATTCCATCCCAGTTTTTCCATCACAATGCTGAATGAAAAACAATCATAAGTATGTACATACAATTGCATAAGAGAACAAAGTGTGGAAGTTCTTTACATACCAATATATATCTATATCTATATCTATACGTGTATGGTAAGTTACCAAGGAAGATCAGTGATGAGGGTAAACAATTTATTGCTTCTAGGATAAAAATCCTATGTCTTGTATAAATTTCAGCCAAAGTACAAAAGATCAATTAATATGATAAGGTACAAATTAAGAGTAATCGCTGACATTTGCATAGTTATCTACCTTGATCTCAACTACTTAGTTCTAATTTAAAACATCAATAGAGCCAACATGTTTTAAACAAATCAAATTTGAATCAAATTTAAATTTAAACAAATTTAAAATAACAAACTAGTCAAAATATCCATCCTTGACTTCAGTATCACTGTCGTTACAGTCATCATCATCATCCCTTGGCTGTTCAAGCGCACCTCCAAATTTGTTTCCTTCGTCATCCTCTTCACGGGTCAATTCATTCAAATCCAAACACTCCTTCAACCAACGATATTTGATCACTTCTTTTAATATCCTCGGCCAAATGAATTGCGATTTCTTGGTCAGCTTGATTTGAACATAATGACCGAAAATGAGCAACTCAGGTGCTGGAGCTAAGCCACCAAAGGAAGTAAAGTCGAAGCCATAATTTTCGGGATCGACGGTTCGGAATGAAACAAGTTTTGCAGAGTTGTCAATGCTTAGAGCGTAATCTTTGACGTCTTGAATATCAACGTGCAAAATTATGCATTCAGCGGTCTGTCGCCAACGAACTTTCGGGTGGCGCATATCGTTCATTCCACCAGCTGCCTCGAGTGACTGTTGTCCTGTTGCCGTTGTTGAAACTTATATGCATAGAAAAGCAATGTTATTCAATTTGAAATAATGCTGATACATTTGTTATGAACTTAAGTACTTGTCAGGAGATGCTACCTTCAACTGTAGATGGTGCCTCAAGTTGTTTGACATCCTTAAGCCAAGGTATTTCTATTCCCAATGATTCCATCATGTTTTCCACGCCTGTGCCACCTAGGTCATATTCATCATCGGAATCATCCCAATCTTCGTTTTCTAGTTTCTTGTCAGCAAGATCAATCTGTCGCAACATGCTGTTTCGTGTAGCAGTCACGATTTCCTCACCATTCTCAGAGAAAACGGCGTGGTTCATCTTCACTAATTCTTCGCCTATATCTTGTCCTGAAGCAATGAACATGATTGCACTGTAATAGCGACACGGAATGGAGGAGTCGTCAAGGTCGTTTGAGGCCTAGCATGGAAAGAATTAGAAAGTTTAGTCAATAAAATCATAAACATAAATACACCACGGTCCCAGTCATGACTCACCACAACATCCATCAATACCCCGTCATCTTCTTCCGTAAGTGTAAAGTTCATGAGCTCTGCTGTTACGTCTGCCCCCCATTCGCGTGAACCATTTGCAGGACACACATGATCAAGTTTAAATGCCACTGCTTGACATGGAAGTCTATCAACGAGTGTACGTGGCATTGGAAATAACTCCCAAGTAGTCGAATGTAGTTGAACATCTCCAACATCGACAAGAAAAATATTGTAAAGCTGTTTCGCTTGGTCGACATGCGTTATCAAACCTCGAATCCACCTGTAAGAAGAGGTATTTTTGTTTTTCTAGAATAGCATTCATAAATATAGTTTAATGCATTAACTAATTAGTTATTACCGCTCTGTAATTCGATCTTTAACGGCAACCATTAAACCGCTTTGGTACCAGGTTTTGAATTGCTTGTTGTATTGAGAGCATCGGCCAGAAATGTGTCCCTTAATACAAGCGTCCAATTCTGTATTCACAGCATCCAGTAGCTTTTCAAATTTTGTTTGTGTTGCAAATATGCAGTATGGATTTCTTGTAAATGTCGACCACATGGCAAAACTCTTGGGGTTTTCTGGGGTACTCGTAGGAACGAACGCCCACTCGAATTTCTCACCATAACCAAAGAATTGAGACATGTACACAACATCTGAAATAGTAACAATTCATTTATTATTAGGCCTGAAATACTTAATTCTATTATAATTATTTTCTATTTCTAGTACCTTTAATTGGACTGTTCTCCAAATCTTCCAACTCTGGGCAAGTAAATCCTGTGTCACGACCAAGTTTGAACAGTTTGATCATATGTGTGTCGTTCTCTTTTGCGCATCTAATTCGAATCAAGTCCAATCGGACACTGGATTGAGTTTGGACATCTGCGTAATCTTTTTGCACATCAACCAAAGGATTCACCCAGACAGTATCAACCATTGAAAACAAAACCTACATAACAAATTACTGTTAAAAGCACATCTTATAATAATAGCGCATAAAAGTTAATTATTACCCTGCCAAGAAGAATTCGATCTACAGTTGCGTCTACAGCTCTTGAAATCTCAGCTCCACTGTAACTGACACCTGATTCGGGAGATTGGAGATTAGCAAGTACCAGTTCCACAGAAAGCTGTGGTATGTTTCTAAATTCCTGTGGCATCAGGTACACCTTCTCTGGATGTAGTATCCCAAAGAATCCAGAGTCGATACACAGAACCCGCAAACTTTTTGGATACTGGAGTTCAGTGCGAGTCAAGATTTGAAGAATTTTTGCTCGAAAAATTCCGTCATAATTCTCAATGACGCACAGTGTTCCAGGCTCATAAGTTTCTGGTGGAATTCTATGAAAAACATTCGAGTATATACAAGTGTAACTTGATACTATTTTGTAAGTTGTAAAGTACTTTGTATCATCATTCTGAAAATATGCTTGCAATTTTTCCGACATGATTTTAAAATCGTTGATCCACGAACACTTTAAAATTCGTTTTCCATTACGGTGCTCAAAGCAGCGCAAAACTTGGGCAGAATAATGGGATGGATTTATGCATTCTGAAATCCTTACTTCGATCTAGGATCATAACAACATGTTGCATTATTGAATTCTAGTGCTTCTATAAATTCGAATTCAAAGAATTCCATGAAATTTCACAGCATAATGAGTTTCAATACCTCTCCACTCCTGGGCACTATGGGCTTCTGTTCCAAATCTTTGAGCAAAAATATATGCCTATCTTTGCAGTCATTGTCTAAACAATTTCCAAAAAGTTTAACTCTCTGACAAAGTGGAAGTTCTGCGACTGCCTGCTGTTCCATCTGAAAATTTGCAAAAGAGGATGACGATTACAATCCATACACAAGAGACAGTAGTAAAACATTAGGCATTATGCAATAAAATACGGATATGTAATGCATTACTCGACAAGCAATCGTGGTAAGCGTTCCAGGAATTTGTTGAAGTAAATCTCTTCCAAACTTGTGAAGCCTGTATAAATACTTTTCTTCTCCAGTGAGCAAAAAGTGAGCTTCCAAATCCTAGGTAAATTGTAATAAAAAGAATTAACCCATACTTAAGTGAAATAATGTAATTATTGACGACTAAATAAAACAAAGCTATGTTGTGACCACCTTTCTCAAGTATTTTGTCTGTGGACAGGCCTTTTCCATTGCAATGTCCCGATAATTATTCCACATGCAAGTAAATCTTTCGGCACCTTCTGAGGAAATCCTGGAGATGGGATTTTTTGGTAAATTGTAGTGAATAAGGCATGTGACGTTCCGAATATTTAGACGCGACAAAGCAGAATCGTTGAGCACCATAATTTGGCGATCAGTGGCTGGACCACTTGTCCATTCGCGTAACAAGTCTAGGAACAAAGATATAAAATTCGATAGTTTTAAACTTGTAGAGCATATTTATGCATAACCGACTTTACCATTTAAAAGATCTACCCTCATTGAATCAGTGTCTGCTAGAAGGGCATAAATTCCATTCTCCGCAAGGTGTGAATGTATCCAACTGGCAAAATCAGCAGTACTGCTGACAATAAAGATCGTCTTGTGTTTAACCAGCTCTACGCTTCTCAATAGTTCCAATAGCTTTTCGATTCTCTCTTTGCCGGGATTCGTATGATGGAAATACCACTTGACTTCCCCATATTTGATTAGCTGGTTGTGGGAATTGATGAAGAGGGTAGGTGCCCAACGGTCACCTACTGCAGGACCACAAAGCCGCTGCGTGGACATGTACAATTGTTCAACTTGCTGATTCCACTTCCGTCCGGTGAAAATCCGTTGATAAAAATAAACGTTGGAACGTGCTATTTGGAATATGGTTTCTCGGAGGGTATCAAACTCCTCTCGGAAATACTCCATCAGAACATCAAGGTCTTCATATACCAAGTACCTTAATCTATAAATTCAGTACATAAATTAGCAATTAGCATAATGAAGAAATACCAACTATTCGGAATTGAAATATTAAAACTTATCGGAATATTTGATTGTACTTGTCAAATCCAATAAAAGTTGAAGATTTCTGCACCAGATTGCACATTAGGGAACACGTTGAGACAACTATACTTAGGTCTGGTTTAAATTTTGATAGGTCCTTCATATCAGAAATGACATCATATGACAAGTGGCGCTGGTTGATGGCACACAATAATCCGTGCAAAGTCCCTTTCATTTTAAGGCAAGCCACATGGTCACTGCAGACGATTATCAGTAGTGGGCTGCATCTTCGAGCCTATTAAACAGATGAATTATAGCAAGAAATTCTGAACATTGAATATTAATTTCTTTGAAATACACGCACCTGACGAATTTCTGCCTCATTGTATCCAGTGACTAAACGACCAATCACAGGTATCAGGTAGGATAACGTTTTTCCAGTTCGGATTCCTCCAATAATGAAGCAATCTAAAAGAAAATAGTTGGATGATTACTTGCTCGTCCAGCATAAAAGATCAACGAAAGAGGATTTACCATCTCCACGACACAAATGTGGAAGGACTCCTTTCTGAAGAGAATTTAACTCTATTATGCTGAAATTCTTTATCCCCTAAAATAAATCAAGTCAATTTTAGAAACTATAACTATAATCGTTTATCACAGGTTAATTTATTAGAATTATTACGTCACGCATTAGGTCCACGTGTTCGAAATGATTAATCGATGACAAAGGGGACGACTTCATAAGGCCGCTGATGTACGCACGCCGAAAATATTTGTTGTTCAGCACAGCATAGTCCTCCTCAGGGAAGTTGGCGACATGTCGACTGACAAGGACGTTCTTACTCGAACCCCAGGGCTCAGAAGGACCTTTTCTACCCTTATCCCTATCCTCGTCCGAAGTGTCGATTAAGTCCAAGTAATTAAAATTTTCCAGCCCTGTAGGAACGTATCGCGATGATGACGCAGCCATTACTTGGTGATACAATTTAATTGGTAAACTTTTAGTTATTTAAGGGTCTTCACGTTCACCCTTCGCTCTTAGTATAAAGCGGAAACGGGTTAATTTACATAAGCCAGACAAGAACCAATTTTTTAAGACATTACAAAATTAATTTACTGTAGCAAGCAGCGACTCGCATGTGACTTCTAATTCTAACCAATTCTAAATGAAGCAGCCACGTTTGAATGCTTGCTTTACTTGTTCTCACGCTTTCCCCAAATCTCATTTTGCCTCCAGCACTACATAATGGAAATCTCACAAACGTAAGTAAATTTAATTTATGCATGATAAGATGAGAAACTTTCACTATTCAATCATCATCTTCATCTTCGGTAATTAAATTTACTTCACCGTCAACAAAATTTCAGCAAGTTTGGAACCCCTGTCAATTCTTTCCAGAAAATGTGTGCATATATTAAAGATCCACCCAACGGCCATAATAAAGGTGCGGTTAACTCCAGCGGCAAGATTACTGCTACACAGTTAGCCTGAACTCCGGGAAATACGGTCAGTATTTTAAAACCATGATGAACATCGATGTTACCCTAATAAACATGGACAAGGAGAAAGCGTCTCATTTCGTGAAGCTCTCGCATCAGGTAATCGATCGGGATATAATGCCAGTAGTGCATCTCTTTCAAAATTGAGCCAATGGCATCTTCCATGACTTTGATATAGTATTATAGCATAGCTCGCCATTAATTTTGGTAATTAGAAAACATTATTCGACAATGATAACATTGTCGTTAAAGTCATGAAAAAGAGGTAACAAATAATGCAGCAGGTTAAGATTCTGCGGCCGAGACTCTGTTCCGCCTAAATTAAATCTACCAAGCAAGATGTATACTTCTTTCTGCACGTGTTGAGCTGTTTGCTCACATTTTTTGTCATTTTACCGTTTTTACAAATTAATAATTTTTGTATAGAAATTTTCTAGCGTAATTAGGTGGTGTAAGTAGTAAAACAAGTCGCGATATGAAGTAAAGACTGTCAAAGCAGATATAAGTGGTTTGGTGGTGTTTAAATTTTTATAGGTTTATTGTTTTCAGGTTTTGTTAATTAGAATGTTAAATTAAGCTCAGAATTGTGTTAACTGTCCAATTTGTTATCGTTAATTAATCGTTACCGCTCACCTGTCTCCTTCATTAATCTTACCGCAATGAACAAACTCAGCAGACATGTTTTGGGGATGAAGGTTTGTTTAAAATTATTTAATTTAAATAAATCGACTATATTAAAAAGAACTTATTGAAATTTTCCGTATTTTCAGTTTATGAGGCGAACTCAACAACAGTGTGTCGCAGAAAAAACCGAGTCAACATTTCGCCATCATTTTGGACCTGAATCAAAAGCAGGAACTTCCAGATCTAAACTACAAAATAAGGGGTGAGTTCTTGTGTATTAAAGTCTCTTTTTCTGGTTTAGATATTTCAGTTAATTCCTTCATTGTAGGCATAAACCCTTTGAAATTCAAGAGATTGGAAGTTACAGCCAATGCGAGGGTCATATATTTGGCCGGCAATCTTACGGTGGGTTTAATCCTGTTGTTGAATACAATGTAAGTAAAGGGATTTGGAAACCATTCTCCCTCGAAGAAGAGGACGGGGATGGGGATGACAAGTCAGAAGATATCAAAACAAAAGTTGAGAGTGAAGAGGACAGCGAAGTGGACGTTCCCGATAAAGAAATGGCCAAAACATTCGGCAGTCTAGTGGGAACATTGGGTAAAAGATTTTTGAAGAAGCGGAAGAGGGGTGAACAACAAGTGGACAAAAACATAAAAGCGGAATCACAACATAGCAAAAAGAATGACAGATTTGACAAGAAATCAGGAGGACGATGGAATAAACGAAATGCAAGAGATGAAGATAAAACCACCAACAGCAATTATAGTCCAAGTTCGAAGAATGGGGGTGCACCTCCTGCAAAAAAGTTGAAGTTTCAGAAACCGTCGGATTAATCGTTGTTCACTGACTTGGTGATACTCGCACTTTTTACATGAAACATTTGATTTCCAACTATTTTTTATTGAAAAAATAATAAATCACCTGCACTTTTACTGCAAGAACATAAACCTGTGATTCGAATTTTTATTTTTAGCCATCTCATCTTAACCATCTTAATCTCGCATCACAAAACTGCCCGGGTATCAGATCATCACGCTCTGGTCATGCTATTTACAAAGCAAAGTACTTTCATTCATCAGCATTTGCGTATATGGATCATGTAACAGCTTTGTTATCATTTGTGCATGGCAGGACATAGGAAATTATCAGTTAAGAGTATTACTTTAGTAAAGTAACTTTACATCAATATATTTAGATAACCATTCTTCATCATGATATAATATATGCAAGTAAGTACAAAACTCGCTTTTAATGTGAACATATGCAATGAAACAATCCGGTTTCATTTTTTGTTTGGTAGTTGCTGTTTGTAGTGTCAACAATACAATCAGAGAATCCAGTTCTCTGCTCACCAATTCACGGCAAGTTCTAGTTTATCAAGATTTCTCCAGAGGGATAACTACAAACTAATTATTCAACCGGGTTTTTGCGTGATTAGGACCTGAACTTTGGATATCGATACATGGATATCCAGTACTCGAGTACCAATGTGAAGTGTTTATCATCAGCAGCTGACTTGAGACGACTAAATTAGACTTTGCTATCCGTTGATTCCATTTAATCATTTATAGTGTAAAGACATCAATCAAGTCACAAGTCAAGATGGTGTACTACCGCTTTCTGTAAGTCATGTTATCTATTTGTATATTTAACTCCCAATTGTAAGGTTATCTGTATTATGAATTGGCGACTGGCGTGCATGGCAAAGATTAATTATATTGGAATTGACATTCCATTACGGAATCTAAACTATTAAAGATTTGCTTGTTCATATATGCACTTTAATTATTCAAGACGTGGGTCATGAAATTAATATGCAAGAAAATATCAAGGATTATATTTCCTCTCTTATGCACATGATAACTACTTTGCTGAATAGTTATCAGTTATCCAAGCAAAAGTAGGCAGGGCTGTTAAGCATCCGACCACTCAGAATCAATCAATGCGGACGAGGATGATGATCACATTATAATTTATAAATGATCCAATTCACATCTTGTATAGTAATGTATTTAATTTGCGTGGTTTATCTTTATCGTTTAGTTTGTTGGTAGGAGATTTGGGGTAGTTTATACTCATTCTCACTCAGACCATATAAGTTGTGAAGGGTTCAAAGTTTGTTCATGTTGTTGCACCGATTTCGTTAATAAATATTGACTTTTACTTTTCGCCAGGAAATTTAATACAGTTTTGTTTGTAATTTCTTTGCAGAAGTACGATGAACCGATTACTGAGGTTCGACGGTCGTGTAGTTGTAGTTACGGGGGCCGGTGGGGGTCTTGGGAAGGCTTATGCAATGTTATTTGCTGAGCGTGGGGCGTCCGTGGTCGTAAATGACCTAGGTGGCAATCAACATGGGGACGGAAGCAGTTCCAGAGCTGCGGATCAGGTTGTTCAAGAAATTGTTCAAAAAGGTATTAACTATTTCCTATTTCATACACTTTCGGTACTATCGGTACATATACATCTCCGTATAAACGTGATGATTTTCTTTACAATAGGAGGAAAAGCTGTCCCAAACTATGACTCTGTAACTGATGGAGAAAACATTATAAAAACAGCAATCGACAAGTTTGGTAGAATTGATATTCTGGTCAATAATGCGGGTATCCTGCGAGACAGAAGTTTTGTCAAAATGAGTAAGTCAGACTGGGACATTGTGAACGATGTACATGTTACGGGCGCCTTCAAAACTACCAAAGCTGCCTGGGATTACTTCCGAAAGCAAGAGTATGGTCGAATTATCAACACGTCTTCAGTTGCCGGCTTGCTAGGAAATTTCGGTCAGGCGAACTATTCCATGGCGAAAGCTGGCCTTTACGGATTTTCCCAAACACTCGCAAAGGAAGGAGCAAAGTTTAACATTCACACGAATGTCATTGTACCCATGGCAGGGTCTCGTCTTACAGAAAATATCCTTCCCCCTGGTTAGTTAGAACTTATAGTCAGACTATTCACCTGTTGCCTGTTTCAAGCTAAAGAATGAGAGACAATAGTGTGTCACTAATTTATCTAATTTATTCGATATTTAACAGACCTTCACTCAGCTTTAAAACCCGAACTAATTGCCCCTGTTGTTGCCTGGTAATTTCATCATTAGTAGTATATAATTCCGACACGATCTCATAAATGGCGTAGAGTTGGTCATGTGGCTTTACTTCATACGACTCAATGCCATCCATCAGATCGCGCCGGAACTAATGACAAAAATATGTAGGATGTGCCATGAAGACTGTGACGATAATGGAGTTGTTGTAGAAGCTGCTGCAGGCTTTGCAGCTAGATGTAAGTTTAATCTGTAATTAATCACAAATGATAAACTATTAAATATATACCTGCTCACTGTTGTTGCTATCATTTTGATTTTTAGACAAGCTATTTAGGTCCAAAGGTGCTGTTCTTCGAGAAACTTTAAATGAGCCATTGACAATCGAAGCGGTACAACAAAAATGGGACACAATTTTGGACATGTCAGAGCCAGATTGCCCAGAATCTGCTGAAGAAGCAATGGGAAAAATGATGGATGCACTAAGGACTCAAGAAGTCGGATCTTCATTGAACAATGTGACACGGTCTACTCTGGCTGGAAAGCCCTTTCCTGAAATTAAATACAAATATGATCGGACTGCTCCTATTTTATACGCTTTGGGATGTAAGTGTCCATAAATCAGTATTTATTTCTTGGCAGTATTAGAATTAAAATTCGATTAATGCATAATTTATATTTATTCAGTGGGTGCCAGCACGACGGATCAATATGCACTAAACTACTTGTATGAAAATTCAGAAGATTTTCGCGTTTTGCCAACATTCCCTGTCGTTCCAGCTTTACCTTGCATGTTCGATGTGATGAAAGTTCCGAGTCTAAATGTTGACTTTACCCAAGTTCTACATGGAGAACAGTACATTGAATTGCATAGACCAATGCCTCAACAAGCCGAACTAACTTTGAAGACTGAAGTCGTTGAAGTAATGGACAAGATTTCTGGGGCTGTGTACATTTTACGAGGTATTTTATAGTCATTGACTGAAATATACAACATACACTTCATTGTAGAATGATTTCCATTGACTTTGTTACATACTATTTCCTACAGTAAATGGAGAAGATAGCTCTGGTCCCCTTTTCACCACTGAATGGTCCGTCTTTGAAGTTGGGGCTGGGAAATTTGGTGGAAAACGAGATACTGACAAACCAATTACACGACCTATTGTGCCCCCAAAGCGAGGTCCTGACGCTGTGTTAGAATTTAAGACTTGTGATCGACAAGGAGCCCTTTACAGATTGTCTGGCGATTTCAACCCACTCCATATTGATCCTGACTTTGCTCAGATGGGTGGATTCAACAAACCAATTCTGCATGGTTTATGCAGCTTTGGTATTGCAGCACGTTTGATTTTGGAGAAGTACGCTGACTCAGATCCCAAGCTATTTAAAGCCATTAAGGTTCGCTTTGAATATGATGAACAAACACTACTTTAATATTATAATGAGCAAACAAAAATGTATCAACTCAATGTTCCGTATTGCAGGCCAGATTTTCTAAACCGGTGTATCCAGGGCAGACCTTATCTGTTGAGACCTGGCGAGAAGGGAACCGAATTCATTTCGAAACCAAGGTGAAAGAAACTGGGGCTGCAGTTATTACAGGTACGACAATAATTCCCGTGCAGTTCGAAATATAGTGTACATATTCAATTACAATGTGGTTAATTTTGTTCTTCTCACAGGAGCTTACATGGACCTCCTTCAAGTAAAGGCCAAGCTATAAATCACCATGCCTTGTTTTACCTGAGCACAAGAAACTCTTTGAAAGTACAGAACTTGAACCAAGTTGATAATTCAAACATAATTCCAGATAATCTATGCCTTTCTGCAAAAAAATAATATAATGGTACTCTTAACAAAGAAAATAAAATAACATGAAACACAAAAAATGTCAATTTGTTCAGTCCCTTTTTATTACATGATGATCATTTGCTTTATTCAAGGGACAAGAGTAGAAGTGGAAGTAGTTACCCTACTAGTTTGGTATTAGACAATATAAATTAATCATTATTCAATAGCAATTTCGCACCAGTTACATTTCGTTCTAACTTATTTAGCATGCACACAAACATAGTATAGTCAAAAGGTGTTCCATCTTTTATAATGAGTCAACACTAAGGATGATGATATCCTTACACGTAGAAACACTAACGAATACATTACCCTATCTGGATAAACAAAATGACAAATTAATAACTTGGGTCGGAAGGAAAGTCATGCAAATCTAAGAGAAAAGGTGAATTAAACCCTTGGTCTCTTTAACTAAAGAACTAAACCAATCATAATAATAATAATATTAGTTAATATTACTTGTTACATCTCATCCTCACATCTCACTATAAAACTAACCGAATAGCACACCAACTAAATTTAATTGAAAAACGTCTTATTAACACCGTTATAGAGGACGGCGACTTGATGGAGTAGTAACACACATACGAAGATGATATTATGCCCAAGTTTCGTAATATCGGTTGGATATTGTATTTTTCAACTAGGTGGGCTAAATGAGTATGGTCGTATAATGTAGTGACCATTCTAAACCAATAACTGAGCCAATTTCATAATAATCATAACATGACGACAACTTTGAGGGAGGGAGGGTAAGTAAATAAGGAAGTTTTGCAAGGGGAAATTTGTCTTGATAGCTGGTAGTTGCCTCTGATAGTGGTTTATTTTGACTTCTTTCCTAAAAGGACAGCCTCGTACCTGGACTTGCTCGAGTGCCATAACATGAACGGAATGACAAGTGGAGGCACAGACATGATAGCAAATGCGGTCCAATCCAACTAAAAAGTAACGATCACAGAGAATTAAACCAATGCATATTAAAATAAAAAATGATTCAATTCTAAAATTTTATCCAACTCACGAAATGTGGAGAGAATCGTTTGTCAAACTCCCTGAAGGCAGCTATGTATCCCTCTCCAGGTTCACTGGACCAGCCTTGGAACACCTGCAAATCATCACAAATTATTCATGTTTTTCAAAATTGTCATTATTCCATCCACGTCGCTAATCATTAATTCCATTACCTCTGGAGCATCATCCCCCGACTTATAAGTAACTTGCGCCGCAGTGAAATTGTAGTAGCCAAACTTGGTGGGTCTGACGACCAGCGTGTGTGTCACATTGGAAGCAGGAGGTATTCGAGGAAAGGTGACCTCGGTGGTTCCCCCCACAACGGTGAAGTCTGGCCCAAAGCTGGGATCCTTCAATTGGACATTGGTGGCAGTGACGGAGCCCACATTGTAGAGGCTGTACTTGATGACCACGTCCATACTTTCCACCACATATTTATTTTGCAATTGCTTATAGACGAGGACTCGGGCGGGGTCTTCCGACGTGGTCAGCGTGCCTGGATCTGCCGCATAACCCATGGAGGACAAGAGGACGCAACTTATCGCCGTCAGCACGCCCAGGGTCAAACCTTCGCGACGCATCATTCTTCCTAAATTCCTAACTTTACCGTCCGTCGCCTTGCTACTGAAACAAATGACAAAACTTGCAATTAGAAAATGTACAACGTCTAATTTTTCTCAGAACTCGGCGCAGTTCGTGTATTTTTTTATAAATTCTATTCTACTTTTACGGAACCGATTAAAACTTTAAATTGAGCTAATATTTTACCGTCTGTTGATGAGAGAAAGGTTTTGCTGCTGCTAGCGTGATGGTTAAATTAAATGTGGAATGAAAGCCGGTGTGAACGAGGAGGTATTGGGACGGTTTTTACGTATGTTGTAACGAGTCGTTGAATTGTGTGGTAGGATTTGGCCGTGTAAAGAAGGACCCGTTATGATGATGGCATATTGTTGATGTTGTGTTGGAAGGGTTAAAATATGACAGAGATGAGACGTGGAACCACTGACACACGTGTAATGCTGCATTTGTAAAGTGTAATCCAAGCTCCTACAGACTGAGGTCTCTGCTCTGCATTTCCCAACCTGCCTGCTACCAATTGAGACAGACCAACCAACTCTTGCTCCCCATGAAGTGCAGCGGAAAAGTGAGACAAATCTCAACTTGCCTCATGATATGATCCAATAGCACTGTATTTCTCAATGGTCACTTTGTAAGCATGCACCGAAATGTTTTTAACCTGTGCTGGATAAACACTTCCGTCTTTAATTCTTGGAATGAGACACGCCATTATTATGTTATGATTTGGAGTCATTTAGACTAATGTGATGTATTTATACAGATAGAAATATGGGTTTTGCTAAATTTCATCTCATCTGCTTGTTACTTATAACTTTTTCCTGGACATTTGTGAAGGCGACCTCGATCCTCCCAAATCTCGAGTGTCCCTGCGACGGGACGCAGTACGTGTTTAAGCACCACCACCTGACCCAGCACACCTGCGGAAGATTGGCAATGTGTGCCTTCGAGATGTTCTACTACATGACCAAGATGCCCAACGTTTCCGCAATGCCGGATAACGTCCTTAGTGCGACAGAGTACGAAGCCAAGTATAAGAAGATCATGGGACTGTTCGGCTTTCCGATTTATGAGAGCATAGAGGTAAGATTGGAGCATAGCTTGGAATATAGCAGCTTGGAATATAGCAGCTTGGAAGAGCATAGCTTGGAATTTCAATAGCTATTTACAAATTTCTAAACTTGTCTGAAATAATTGCAGTATATGATAGAAGAATGCAGAGTCGAATTTCGTAACTGTGCGGATGCGAAGAAGCTCCTCGTTGAGAAAGAGTGTGCCCGATTTCGTCCCCAGAAGGAAAAGGAATGGGCTGAATGGAAACAATCTGGGCCGTGGACAGGTCACGAGTATTTCGCGAAGGACACACCTTTCACTCTTGTCCAGACCAGAGATTTCTACTTCAACTGGTGGCGAATGTATTTTGACGGTTGGGACAAATCCCGACCCATCAATGGGTTCAGGTATAAGACTCTGGATAAGCGGTTCTTTTGGGGGGCATGTCCCTATTTCATTATCAAACCCACGTTTACCATGTCCGTCCTCCTGGCCGAGTTTGCGGGGGTAGCATTTCACGAAGATATGTCCGTCCATGTGCTTGCACACCATGTTCGTCCGTTCGTTATCAGGGCGTTGTACTGTGATGCGTATGGGCCGAGGTGATGATTAGCAGAATTATTTTCTAAATAACTTGTCATTTAACAGATAAGACATTTTTAATGTAGGTATACAGACATGTACATGAGTTATAATGCGACCGAGTTTTGCAAAACGTGGCACATCAGTGGGATCTACGTCTGCATCTCACTTACCTACGAAGCTCTTGATCGACAACAGAGGAATGTGGAGGAAGAATGCCAACTGCCACCACTCCCACCCGACCAACATGTCTTTGTGGATCCTAACGACGAGTTGAACGAGGCGGGGAAAACTGACGACCCGCACTGGTACTACCCGGATTATCCGGATTATCCTGAGACCAAGTGGAGGCCACGACACATATCCTTCCCTTGGTTTCCTCCGTATCAAAGCCATCCAGAAAACGAGGATGTGAGGAAAAAATAAAACGGGAGTGCGGAAAAATTATTGTGTATGAATGCACAAATTAACAAAAAATAATGACAAAATAAATGCTGGGTCAAGAATGCATTAAAATTAAGCTGATTAGAGAAAATGTTATGTATTTTCTAAATCAAGCACCCATTTATTAAGACAGCATAGAAAACACATACACAATAGTCACAAATTCTAAATCAACTTAATCTAGACCAGACCGAGTGGCATTTCATTTCCTATGATTAAAATTGAATAAGATTACAATGAAAAATGCATAATTTCGAATCGACACTGTGAATTTTAATAAGATGCTATGTTTATAGTTATAGCTAACAGTTATTCTTGATAATAGTGATACAGTATTATGCTACTGTAATAATCATGTATTTATAATATGTTGCGTGACCAAAGTAGCCACTCTTATCGGAATACTACAAATTACTTATTTACTTCACTGGAAAATGTTTGGTAACTAATAAGTAGTACTCAAAGTAATAATTAACAAACATTATGTTACAAAGTCAAGTCTTCCAGATTGGATTTCTTTTAAAGTTAGCAATTCAGTTTACATTGGACGTCGTTTTTATTCCTTCAAAAAGTAGTAGTGAGTGGTAGTAGTAATCGTAGTAGTGTTCAAGATTGCCGTGTTGAAAACGTACGTTGGAGTGTTGAAAACGGCATTATCATCCTGTTTGAATCCTGTGTCTACCAAAGTTTGGTAGAGTATCCTGGAATTACGTATAATAGTTAGTTATCATTGCAGAATATTAGAATGTGGTTGACGCAATCTCGTTAGATAAAACACGTACCTCCTGGAGGAATTCGTCGCGATGGAGTAACCGGCATTCCTCCGTTAGTAGATCCATTTCCATCTTTAAAAAAATACGGAATGTATTAATATCTCAATCATTACATTTCCTCAAAATATACTAATATAAATTTGAAATGATAATGTTACTGCTCTTGTAATCCCCATTGATCGATCCATTCGGAGTGCTTGATCCAGAGCTTGGTCCAGACAATGATCCAGTGCTGCCACTACCTCCATGGTAATGTCCGTTGCTTGGGACCACAACGCCATTGGTGGCAACAGTGTGTCCATTGGTTCCATTGGCGACCGAGATTCCATTCGTCGCTCCGATAAGTCCAGCATCCCCGTTTGGAACGACAACGCCAATAGTGGCGGCATGTCCGTTCACTTTTCCACCCTCCTTGAAGATGATGTTGCTCTTCTGGTGGTCTTTCTTGGGGGAGTCAGTCACGTCTCCACCCTCCTTGGCTCCAAAAAGACGGTTAAAAGAGTCCCCATCTGGACGGACCCTGGCCTTCACCTGTTGCCCTTCGGTCGAGCCAAAGATGGAGGAAGCCATGTAATTCTTCACCTTCCTCGGAGTAGTGGGTGGAGTGTTGGTCGGAGAAGAGCCAAAAATGTCGCTCGACTCACCACCCGGTGGTCTCGTGATTCTATAAAAAAAATAGAAACAAAATCACTTTTAGATAATTTACTCATCTCCGGTTGTCCATTATTATTATGATTATTCTCAACAAGCCAGCGTAAAAATAATGCTAATGATAAGCTCCGTGCATTCACCACTTTTATGGGAACCCATACAACCCACCAGGGTTATAATTAGTCACGCGTTTGGTTTGACTCTTAAGTAGGTGTGGTCACCCTTTCTCTCTCAGATTGGGTGAGTGAGTGAGTATTACAACAGTATTTGTAGCATTACTTTTATGCGTAAATTTTTAAAGCCTGTTAATGCCCCAGCATGTCGTCCCATTTGCCTTGCCTTGTTGTTGCTGTTAAATTACTTTGTTTGCCTGCGGTTAAGTTGGGGTTGTTATTTGTGAGGCGAGCGAAGGAAGGTGCATGACTTCAAGTCAAGCCCGTTTACTCAATTAGTATGATGACTTTTCAAATTAAACTCTGGAGGACTAGCAAAAATTTAACTCTATTTGACCAGGACAGAGACATGTAATCAAGTCAAAAAGCAGGAAATGAATTACAGTGATGAAGCCCAAAACTTAATCAGTTTAGTCTCCAGGTAATTTAAAACGTGTCATTCCATTTTATGTGCTCGTGGTTAGTTTGTTGGTGCGAGCCAAGAGCGTTACGCATTATTTTGCATTCTCATCCTCGCACTTATTTTCATAGCAAAAATGTACTCCCTTTTTTCTAATGAGCCAGAGTAAACAAACTACTGCAAATACACAAAAAAACTGAATATCAACTAACTTTAGACTTCAAAAAGTGTCAGCCAAGTCTTATGTATTTCTGGAGTTTGCATTAAAGACTTAAATTGCGTTTGTTGTGCGTCAGTTAATGTGTTTCTTGGCATCAACTCAACAACTATTCAGGCGTGAGTAAATGTTTCGTAGTGAAAAAAAAACAAATTTAAAATCGGTGTGAATCATTCCTTCACTCTTTCTTATATTCATTCACGTTCGTTTACTACACGGCCATGAACCTGAATTTTGCGTACTTGTTTATGCGTAATTTGTAAATGTTGCAGTGTTTTTTGTTGCAATGTTTTCTCATTTCTTGAACCCATTATGATAGATGACGGGTTCAAGTCACAGGGTTGTATATTAAAGCTGATTCTTTCATTTAGTTGCTAAATTATTAATGAAGTCTAAAGAAATTTATAAGTTAGAATTTAAGACGATTGCTGCGTGGCGACTTGTAAATATGTAACACTAATTGGTATTCGCCCCATGAACTAAATGAGCAAGTGGTGGATGAGGTGAGGTGACTATTACGCCTTTATACTCGCCTCCACGAGAAACTCTTGAAAGATTAAGAAATTTTTTTGACAAGACACCTCGTGTCATATGAAAAAATGCGTACGTAGAAAAAGGGCTTTGACTTTGACACTTGCAAAAATGTGGGTTGTTGTTTGAATTTTAATAAGCAAGCTTTCCAGTTATGTCAGACTTCTATGAGAAACAAAACAACCGATGAAAACAATCGTTTCTTTAGCTTATGGTAGTTGATTTGTTTGGCTTATCTTAATGACCAATTTACAATTTGTATTGTACACAGATTACGATAAGCTTGTTGGTATGTTTAGAATAAATTGTTATTCAGTCCCTGGTTTAGGATTCTTGGTATATGACGAAAACGACGTGTATTATTATTTAGTTGTAGTAATAACAGTAAAAGAAGTTGCAAGCATATTTAGCATAATTATAATTTAGTCGTAAATCTTTATAGAAAATCCATAATTTGTAGCGTCCACCAAATAACGGTGATTACGAGAAGAATGAAATTGAAAGTCATTTTAGGTCAGCGGTCATCTCTCACTCACTTGCCCACTCCCATACATGGGCTTAAGCGTGTGCATGTACTGGTAATTATAGAGGTAAAAGAAGCATGTGTGCAGTAGAACGCACAAATCTACCACCAGACACAATTATCATCGTCCACAATTATCATAGACCAAAAAATCATCCCAGTTAATTCAAGCAATTGTAATTTTTTCTAATAATTGTGTCCATCTTGTCTGGAATTTGGACTAGTTAGAGTATTTTTTAGGCAGTTGAGATGTTACACATTTGTTTTTGTTATTCCGAAAGCTTAGTCTGGTTATTTTATTGATGTGAGTGTGTGGTCATTATTGGAAATGACGTTTTTTTTGCTTGCCTGTGATGCGGCACCGTCTCGAGTGCAACGAAATCGTCGGACCCAAATATGTCGTGGCACTCACCCCCGGGGGGTTGCACTTGAACTCTGATTGTAACAGAAAATAACATCAATCTCAACCACGTATCACTGCGCATCTTCATGTTCACCTCCATAAATGTAGGCAGATTGGCTTCCTTTGTTTACGAGTACTATTTACATCAACCATACTACACAGAATACATACATACATGCATGCAAAAATATTCGGGGAAAGTACCAGATAACAAACGGACGTGTTTAATACACAACACACACTGATAATAAAATACCAAATACCAACCAACATTGCTTTGGTGAGTGACACATTCGTATCCTGCTTCTGCAATGTTTGAACTAGCCAACTCCAAGGACAACACAAGCAGATAAGAACGAATCAGTACAAGTTCCGGAGAGTGAATCGTTCACAATAAAAGCTTTGGACATTTTGATCGCTCGAGTGAAATAATGTATACACTTCCTGTTACTCCACCACCACCATACCACCAGAAGCACTTGGTAAAAGATAAAAATAAATACGCATCCATTCCATGCACCAATTCACAATCTCCTCAATTTTCTTCACAAATTATGAAGGACCTTTTAAGCCCCCAAACAGTGTTCAACGCATCGGAATTAATTTTGCCTGACCCTTCCAAGTCCTGCGTCTAACTAGTTGATAAATATGACATATCTAGCTAATGTGAAATATGAGAGTTAACCAACCGGAAGAAACTGAGGAGATGGGAAGGCATAAGCTGGCCTAATGAGTTTACAAATTATCCCTTGCTCTGCTGCACAATAAGTGTTGTGGATAAAGGAATATGTATCATCATGTGGTCACAATACGATCCAAGAAGATGCACTTATGTCATTTCTTTCACATTAAATCCAAATCAGTACAAAAATTCCCCAGATTTTCAAAAACAATGTTGAAATGGAATAGTAGTAACGTCATTTTACCAAATTTCCTGTCAGCAGGAAAATAAAAAGGAGAACGAAGAGGGTGAGTGACACTCCAAAAATTGATCTGGAGACTTCATGCTGTTTTCAAGGTGGTTGAATAATGGAGATTTGCTCCAGCTTTGGCGTTCATTGTTACATTTAACTTTAAATGTCTCTCCTTCATAGTAAAACATGATGATGTTTTTTTTCGGATGGGACAGTATCCCACTTCTTCTTCCTTACCATTCAAGGACCAGAAGAAATGGTATAATTTTGTATCAAAAGAACATCTCAGTACATGCGGTCGTAAACTAGCTCGGCTGCATTTTTTGAAGAAGAGATGTAGCGAACAACACCATGGCTTAATATGGAAAATGACAATTATTCTCCACCAAGCAAGCACTCTCTATCAGAGTCATTATTATTATTATTGCATTTTGTCCGCGTCCTTATACTTATATTTCTAACCAAACAGATTCTGGCCAACCAAATTCTTGATTCATACACAAGTTATCATCGCAGTATGAGATATCAGCTCAGCGAGATGAAGATTATAAGGAACAGAGTGGTGCCCACAAGTACAAAGGCACACAACTTGAATGGGAAATCTAATAGTAAATCTGAGCTAAAACTAGGCAACTGTGTTCCCATACTTGACTCTCATATATTTATTATCACACTTTTGTGAGCACTTGGCAACTAAAGAATTTAAAGACTTGATACTTCATAAATCTTTGTGAGAGTCGATGTCTGCACTCCAACATCAAACAATACCAAAAGAAGCTCTCTCTCTCTCTCTTTAAAAGGGAGTGATCAGCGAGTGAGAGTCCAAAATTGAGATGGGTGTAATGATGGAAACAAGTTTCTGAAGAAAAGGATAAAAACTTTGAGAAAAAAGTGGCTTCTTCATGCTCCAGCTGAATCAAAAAGTCAATATTTTGTCGTAATTGGGTTGATCCATGCATTGTTGTAAAAATCCACTCGTCACACCCAATCCAACATCAAAGTTCCTTCCGTACTCTGTGTAAACATAAGTAAAAGGCTCTCTCTCTCAGGAGTCGTCGTGTGAGTGGTGACATTTACTGAAACAAATCCATCAAGCTTTCTATAAAAAATTACAAATTCCAGCAATAAAGTGATCCATTAAGCCGCACTACCACCGACGGAAGACGAAGAAGATTCATGACATTGGAGGAGCTGACACGTACGACGGATAATGAGAAGTCTCTCACTCACAACTCTCTCAGATGAAGAGTCGAAGAGGGAGCGAGGGAAGGAAGTAGCATTTAATATTTGTCATGATTGATAGCAAAACGACGAGTGATTTATTTATGACGGCCAAAAGCAAAGTATATCTCTTTTAGTCACACGATACCATACCACCACATCGTTCTGTACGGAAAATACCACTCCATACAGATGTATGTACCCACCGACCACATTTTGTCCAGCAGATTTTTATTTATCCACTAAATTCTCGTCTCCATCTTAAATGTTGACCCCGCACCCCCCACCACCGTCATCCCTCTCTCTCTCTCCTTCGAGTTGAAAGCAACATGAGACAACAACAAACCAAAACCAAGTCAACACGATAAGGGGAAATATCTGCAGAGTAAATAAGTTCAGCATAACAGACTGGAAAAATATGCCCAGCCAACCATACGCATAATAAATGCTTGCGACTTTGTGAATGATTCACTGAGAGAGAGAGAAGAAACTGTCTCGTCGTTTCACAATATTTTATTTTTACGATGGAAATTCTTGTCCATACATAAATTAGGATTGTGAGTCGTGGAATAAGAGTTGTAGTGGTGCAAGCGTAATAGCTTTTAACTTTGATGACGTATCATGCAAATCTCGTCCCAGTGTTATTTCATCGGATTACAAATGATAATATGGGATTCCTCCCCCTTGGCATTCTCCGTCTTCTTTTAAACTTGTCCGGATTTCAGAAGATGGATAGTTTGGCATTTGGCATGGATGCGTAAGGAAGGGAGGATGAGAGCAGAGAACGAGAGGGGCAGCAGATAATAAAGAAGGATGCTTGTAAATATGCATGTACGTAGGAGGAGGAGGGTTGGATGGTGTACACAAGTGCGAAGAATAAGTCACTTGACTCACATCACATCAAAAAGTCCACCTAAAACCAATTCTTGTTTTTTTTATTCAGAGAGAATCTCCTCCCTGATTAAATTTCAGTTCTCCAACCCCCATATTTTCTGCCCTTGTTGCAGAAACCACCAAATCGGGCATGAGGTTTCTCCACTTCCGTCAGTAGTAAAAGTATGAGTCATTATTGTGTCGGTAGGAGACAGATAAAAGGTACACAAGACATGGAAATATTTCCATAAAGCGAAATTTCCCAATCTAAATGAGCTGTTCAACTTGACGTGAAGCCACTTGAGACAAGTGGTTTCATTAAGTACATCATCCATCCCCCAACCGAGAGGAAGGAAGAAGACGACGAAAAACACAACAAAACAACACCCGACCAGACGAGAGGAGGAAGGGTAAAGCTAACTCAATCCACTTTTAAATTATTAATCCTTACATACATTACGTACACACTCGCCCCACGGATAATGTGAACCTCGACCCATGAAACAGAGAGGCCAACCTTTGTAAAACTGAAATTTTGGGAACAATTTTATTGCCTGGACTGTGTGAACAATACCGTAAATAAGTAGTAGTAGCCGTACCCCTGCCCTGCTACAGTTATTACCAACCAAACCAACACTTACCTCTGCAATGTGGAATTGATAGCGTAGTAAAGATAAGTTTCTTATCGTCTCGTAAATACAGTGGTGGAAATGCAACATAGAACAAGTCCTTTGTACCTATTTATTTACTACTCCTACGCACTCCTCGTACATTATGGATCGTGTTACTTTTTTCAACACGCACGCAACGGGGAAGTTGCTGCAGTGCTGCGAGAAGAGAATCGATGGGATAATCGAATCTAAGCAAAGTTCCGTTTTTCCCGTGACTTTCTCTTCACAAGGCGATGCAACTATTTCAGCTCACACGCCACGAATGCATGCAGCGTGGACGGTGAGCCTCCCTCTCCTGCACTTCTGTCATTTCCTTGTCCTCTCTCCGTCTTGCTGGCTTGGTGCAATATTACAAAACGGCGTTGGACGACGACGTTTGATTACGTAATTCGACTCCTCCAACCATACGCCATCATCGCCACATGCAAACCGGGGTGGTGGTTGGTGGGCGAAACTATGTATTCAACACTACCAAGTCAGCAGTCTCATCTGATTGTGACTGAACTGACATCACGAATAGGAATTGGGACTGGGAATTGGGGAAAAGAAAGGGTTGCTGCGTTTGCTTCGGCTCGGAAATATCGTAACCAATCCCGTGATCCCGTTGTCCTTGTCCCTGAACTGAATATCATAATACCGGCCGGCTTTTCTCCGCACAATGGTTTTTGACACACGGGTTTTCGCTTCCTTTTAAGAGAGCTATTCTGAACTATGTATCTCTTTCTCTCTCTCTTGCCGATGTTGCTTCCTCCTCCGTGTATTTAATCCAGATTTGATTTCATTCGGTGCAGAACACGGTTGGATGGGAGTAACTCTCCCGTGAAGTGAAAATGGGCCAGAGCCAGGAGGAGGAAGAAAAGAATTCCCTAAAGTTACTTACCTACTGCTAAACAGGACTCGTAACCATTTCCGGATTTCACTCTTCACCAAGCAAACAATAGCAATGAGAACGAAATGAGAATGTACAGTAAGTGAGTAAGTGAGCGAGTGCAACGTAATTCTTCTCCACATGAAATTATTATGTGATTCTTTCTATATTTCATTGAGAAACGGGATTGTTGGACCAAGCTCTCCCAAAAAGATGGTATCTACGATTATTATTATATTCTCTGCTTCGTTGCTGTCCTTCCAAAACTTTCCACCCCAACAAATTGCAACATGATATGATACATGATGATCACAACAGAACACGGGGAAGCATCATCCTCCACCCATTTCATTTCCATTCGACCAAAGGGAAACATCTTGAGAAGCGATTTCCGCCAAATCCATCATCAATTTGTCACAGGGCGAAGTTTACCATCTTTTTTTCAATTCCATCCTAGTCAAGAATTCGGTAAATGTTTTTTCTAC